AAACAGTCTGGCTCTGCAGATAACACTTTGTGGAAAGGCAAGCCAGGTTCTCCTGCGACCTGCAGGGTCCAGATGTTCATTTCCACACCTAGAGCCAAAGTCAAACTAAAGCAGAGAAAAACAGTGGCCAGAAATTTGTTCACATTTGAAAACATCTCTAGATAGGGTAACACAATTATTTTCTATGCGTGCTACCACTGTTAGGTTGCTGCTTTGTTCGCTTTCGTTTTAAAATGACCATCAAGTTGCAGATGTCCATGGTGAAATAAAAAAATGCCTTTAAAGGGTTGGGTTTAAATATTGTGGTTTGCGGTAGCAAGGGTGTGTCCGGAGAGAATCTGTGGTTGCCACTCTGCGTGTGAGGAGGAAGGTTTCGTTCCTTGTGGCAGGGATTGGAGAAGGGGGTCTCACTGCCCAGCTCCACCAAACAGCAGGAYGAGCCCAAGGGCTGCCCATTGAACTGAAAGGAAAACTAATCATCTAATTAGATTGAAGACTTTCTTCTACTTTTCTCTTTAAATTTGAATGGCTCATGGGGTAAAGCTTTTCCAGTATTTCACTGGCTCTAATTAGGCTTACTCTCCCACGACTTACAATTCTACTAAAACTATCTGTTTGTCCTCTACAACAGTAGCAAGTGTGAAGATGAGGAAACACAGACTTGACCAGCCCCGGCACGGCCGAAGCGGGAGAAGATGCTGGAGGAAGGAAGGCGGAGGGGCGCTGGGGAGCGGCGTGGAGGCAAAGGCGCCGCCTTCCCAGCCCTGCACCTGCGGTGGCACCAGGGGCCGCGCTTTGGAGAGGGACAGCTTGCCTGAGTACAAAAACATCCCACAAAATGTCCATGCCCCTCTCTGCAGGCCCCTCCAGCACCTCCAACATCCACCTTGTGCAGCCCCAGGTGCCAAGCGGAGAGAGACTGGAGTGCGCAGGTTGGTTTGTCCCTCGAGGTCGTGCTGGGTTGTGCTGAGCCTCACGCGGCTGCCAAACTCCAGCTGTGGCTTTTAGCAACGTCGGCTCTTGGAGGTCGTGGCTGAAACCCAGAAAAGCCAGAGAAGAATCAGGTCACACCTGATGGCCTTCAGTTTTAGTCCCATGTGCTGCACAGGGGCCTCGAAAAGCCCCTGGAAAAGGATCGAGAGGAGCTTCCCTGGCAAACTCCAGCCAAGSGCTCCGCTTTCCGTGCCAGGGCATTCCCGGCCGGACAGGATTGGTCTCCTAACAACACGGATGTGTAAGCTATGGTCTGTGCTTGTATTTCTGTTCTGCAGGATTAATTCAAAATTCACTCAGAACGACATTACTAGAGACTTCTCAGTGTTTTCAATAGCCTTGGATAAGGCCCTTATATTCTCAATAAACACTATATGGTTATAAATGCTCTAGTCTTAAGTTTTTAATGCAATCAGCAATTATCTTTGGCTTCTGTGTTAACAAGGTCTTGCTGGAAGACCTCATTTACCTGTCCTGCAGAAAGCAAAAACTGTTTTTCAATAAGACAATGTATTTTCTATTTATGCATCAGACCCAAGTAATAATAGGTTTCAAGGAACTGTGGCATTTAATAAAAGCATTTTATTACATTTAAATTTATTAAAATTTAAACATTAAATTCAACATGTTAATTACTGTTTCCATGCATTGACACTGACAGTAGGAAATGGATCCACACAACTGCTCTGCAGAGATATGTTCGCTGCTGTTATTTGCTCTTTGATTACTAATGTATTATTAGTGCTCTTCATTTGGAACTTGACTCATTAACAAAAAGACTTATATGGGCATTATGGAAATCTTTGTATGTCTTTTACATAGCTACCAGGGCATATATTATGCATCTAATTGAAAAACAAATGAAAATGTATTCAGTTATGTCTTGACTTGTGGGCAAGCTTTAGCTAAAGGCAGAGAAATCAAATCAGAGTGTAGAACCCCCCCCTTTTTGCAGCATCATAGTCTTGAGTTTCTGCTAATCTTTTTTTACAGAGAAGTGACACAGAAAGTCGACCCTGGTGTATTTTAACAGAAACAGCAAAATGGTGGCAAAWAACTATGCAGAAAATTTCAGGCTGTCACTTCCATCATGATAGATACACTCTACATCAGGGTTTGTAGCCAATAACCCCTTTCATTTTTATCCCATCATTTCCCTCTCCTGTTTTTGAAGTTATGCTCTGCTTTATCCTAATCTACCCTTTGTCAAGCAACACTTGGGTTCCTCCCACCAAGTGATACTCAGCTCATGCCACGTACAACCCTTAGCTTGTAGATTATTGTAACTGTTGTTGTTGATACAGCAGTAGCACCAAGAGTAGGGAGGTTTACCCAGAGGGCAGGCATTGTCCCAGCAGGTGGTAGGAGATGACATCAATGTGATCTGATTTAAACAAACAGATGCCCATCTTTCCTGCTCCGTGTCAACCCCCTTTGCAGACAAAAAGGTTGGAGGGCCAGGGAAAAAAAAAAAAAAAAAAAGGCTGAAATCTTTGCAAAGATTCAAATACTAGAAAAGGAAGAACTATCTGATCTCCCCCCCCAGTTTTTCAAGGTGCCACAGTCCCTGCCACATCCTGATGTTTGTTTCTTGCCACCGGCCACCCGCCTAGCATGTGACTCGAGTCTTCTGAAGACTTTGGTCTTTCCCTCGATTTCACTTCAGGTTGGGCCACCCCCTTACGGAGCGCTGCTGTCAGCAGCACGGAACTGATCAGGCCYGTCTAATTAGTGAGGTGTCCTGCAAACCAGCAGACAACATGTCCAGATGCAGCAGGATGGTGCCCGTGTCGGGACACAGAATTAAGCTTGAGGACACCAAGATTTTTGCTGGAAAAGATGGCTCGGGAGGCAGGTCAGACGTCAGGCTCCATTATTTTTCTCTCCAAATATGTCCTCCTTTTAAATCTCTCGCATTCACTTGTTTTCAACACTGAGTGGGGTGATGCTCATCACAATGAGGTAAATTCTGCACTTGGCAGAACACTGGTGAATACCCAGAGAAAAGCAGGTTACTGAAAACATACGGTTTCTCCCCTAAATTGAAAAGGAAGTGTAAGAATATAAGATTAGTGCACATTAATGCCTTCATTTGAGTCAAGAAACACCTTAGTTTGGCATCTATTGCAAAAATCATAAGAAAAAAAAATCATTCAAAGTGCATTAAACAGCATGAGACATTTCTTTGACAGTTTCACTGTTCTTATCAGATTATATTAAAATTACAACAATCTAAAAGAAGTGTTAAGTACTGGAGGGACAGCCCAAACAAAACACTCCTCTTTGCAGGCTTCCAGGGCTGGGAGTGATGTTCCCTGGCACGGATGCAGGTAACAAGATTATTCTGGAGTCAGTGGTGAGGCTGCTGGTGTCGGCACAGGGCATCACAGCCCAGCCACGGGGCGCRAAGCCAAGGCACGCGCCCCGCTCCGACGAAGGACACAAGGACAAGAGAAACGAGAGCAAAAAGTCCATCTGAGGAACTGCAGTGGGCTGCTTTCTTCCTATCTACTTTGATATTAAAATACTGAGGGCCAGATTCTGGCCCATTCCCATCAGTGCAGCTGGAGCGGCTGCCCAACCGTGCACAGTGTGAGCAGCGTGAGTGAAACTTCAGTTGCTGGAGATCAGTTCAATTCAGCTGCAACTTGGAAGCCTTACCTCAGGAATAACCTTTTGCAGTAGGTAACATAAACATTAGTCATTTTTGATAATCTTAGAAATTTTTGGATGTCTTAACTGGATTTTAGCAAGCACTAATACTTCTGAAAGCAGGTTAGTCTGCAGACTTGCAGCACCGCGTTSTTGGGACACGCTGAAGAAAGTCAAGTTCTTCGCCTGTTTCGAAAAACAACRAAACTGTCTGAAAGAGTTGTGTTGTTCAAGCTCCGCCTGTTCTTCGCCAGCCTCCCGGCCTTCAGACCGCGTGTCAGATCTGCAGAGGGGGCTGCAGGGCTGAGATTTTGTAATGCCAAGTTCTTAGCATTCTGCCTCAGTGTCAAGAGAGAGTCTCTATGTTTTGATGTAAATATTTGCAGTAAGAGCCATAACAAGGGACTTTGTGAAAATAAATAAATAAATGAATGAATGAATGAATGAATGAATAAATAAAAGTAATGCAATTCAATGATGAAGCAGCCACGGAAATCTTTTTTTATTTTGCCTCACGTCGTGACTGACAGGGAACATTGTGCTGATATCTCTGCAATTGGTTCAGAAGACACCGAAATGGGTTCCTGCATCTTCTGCCCGATGGACACAACTCCGTGAAGCCCAGTGACTTCTACTATTTTAGCAAGCTCCGTGTTTTTGGCCTATGCATTTTTAAAAGTAGCAGCAATCTCTGGTGGGCCTCTGCTGTTAAGTCAGGTAAAAATATCAAACCTTTGTAGTTTGGGCAAGTTCAGATACGGATAGATCTGTTAGTTTTTTGGAGATGTGCAATCCTGCTATGTTAGAGGTACACATGTCCTGTATTTGCTTTCAGTAAGTAGAAGAACAGTTCCTCTTACAAGCACTCAAGGAGAATTCAGCAATAAAAGGCTCCCAAATCTTCCTTCATGTATGTATTTCCTTGCCTGTACCACCTTGTGGAGCCATCTGTTTATGGTGGCTCTATAGAGGCTATAGACAGCTCATGACAGCTATAGTTAATTAAAGGACCTATTTTGGGCACTGCTATATCCATGTGGGAAACGATTTTTAGAGCTTGGTAACACCTCTTGGAACTGCTCATCCCCACACCGCTATTTGACATAACGCACGCGCTGATACCGCGGCCCCAACGGGGCGCTCCCAAGAGCGCTTCCCAGCCGCCCCTTCCGACGAGATTCCGGAATTAACGGAATTAACTAACGGAATTAACGGACCGAGGCGCGGCGTGGCAGCGGGCGGTTTAAACGCCAACCGTCACCGCGGCGCGCGCGGGTTCCGGGGCGGGGCGGCCGCTCGCGCGGGGCACGCCGGGAGGCGTCGCTTAGGCCACCGCCGTAAACAGGGCGGGCGCCATGAGCGGGGCCCGCGGGCCGCGGGGGGACTCCGGCCCCGCCGCCCGCTCCGCCGCCCCGCCCGGGCTCCTGCGGCGCCTCCGCGACAGGTGAGGAGCCCGCGGGCCGCCATCGCCCTCCCCTGTCCCTGTCCCTTTCCCTTCCCTTGCGCGGCCTCGGCCGCGGCCTAAGGGCGGGGCGGCGGGGAGGGCCCTGCGGTTTCCTGAAGAAAAGTGATTTATTGTTTTTCTTTTCTTAGTGCTTCCCTCTGCTCCCCGGGTTGTTTCCGAGGGCCGGTCGCTTCCCTCGGAGCTGTGAGCGGTTGGCGGTGGCCCTGTGGTGTTGCTTCCCGTTATTACTGCGGTTGTGAGGGCTCGGTTGTTGTGGGGAGGGGAGCTTTATTATTGCTGTTATTTTATTATAAAATCTTAAAGCGACTCGTTCTGTGTGTTGCCTTGAAGCACTTGTGTGCAGCTCTTGCACTTGCTTGGAGCAGAGACACTCACCCCTCTSTCATGGAAAGGGTTTGTGTGCTTTAGCCCAGGCTTAACCTGCAATATTATCCTGCAGCAGCATGTCCTGATTTTTAAACTATTTATTAGTCTGGGATCTGCTTGCCCRAGTGGTGTTAGAGCCACTGGGAGAAACTTTGCGAGAGAGTTGCCAGCTGCAGCTCGAGGAGTGTGAGTTGCTGTGCCCAGCATTCTGCTGGATCCCATGGGAGGCTGTTTGGGAAGGGACTGTGTTAGGGGGTTCTGGAAAAAAGAACAAGGGAAGGAAAGTGGGGGGTTCTTTTCCCACCATTTCTTTCTCAGTCATTTAGTGACTGACAATCTAATGTAGTTTGGTTGCTTCTTTTTTTCTCTGAACAGCAGAAAAGCAGCTACTTCAAATATACATGTGAAAAGTTAAAATATAGACCAGCAAAGCCACTGTTGTGCTTGCTCTTGATTGCGTGCTGCTTGTTAGCAGGCAGATGCAGCCAGAGTAGCCAGGGTCATCAGGCTCCATGGTCACCTGAGTATTTAGAGACACAAATGTGCATTCAGAAGGCTGTTTGGAAAACCAGCCTAAAATCCCCGGGGGCTGAATGCCTGAAACTGCAAAAATCTCCCTGAATTGTGAAGTGCAGACTTGAACACAAAAATACTTCTGAAGTGTAATGCAGGAGTTGAGGATAATCTTTTTGAAGAGTCTTAGGTGCTTAGTCTTACTCTCTGATTTCATGAATACTGTGTTTTGCTTTGATTAGCAAACGTTCCTGCCTGAAATCTTCAGAAGCAAGCAGTAACTTGTATTATTTTTTTTTCCTAATTAGTAAATAATTAGGTTATGAAATAGTGCTTTGGGGATCTTCTGCACTCCTTATCCCGGAGTTTTGATACAAAGATGGACTGGGGARGGGGAATGGCCATGAACTGCCTCTTTATTCTATTTTTCTGGCTGTGCTTGGGAAGGGCAAAGACGAAGGGTGGCTCCTTCAGCACAACAACGTGCCCCGGCGGTGGTTTTAGCTCTGTGTCACCCCTCTGGCTGTTCCTTCATTTCCCTGTGTCTGGACAGCATTAGGATCATTTTTCTTTCCTTGATAATCGTGTGTCCTCAAAAATGCCTATTTTTAGAGGATTGTCACCAGGTAGGATAACTTGAATTAGTCTTAGAGGGTATAAAGGAGTGTTGTYGCTTCTGCTTCGTTTACTGCTTATAGCTGCACTCTTTATTTTGGAGAATAAAATTTTGGGTGCCTAATAAATTAAAAGGGGTGGAGAGTTTGTGTCCTGTTTTATACAGGATTGGCTGTGTTATARTTACGTAGCCCTTAATCTCAGGTGGCTGCTGGTGAGGACTGCCCTAGAGGTGTGGGTAGCCAAGTCAATAACTTCTAAAGCTCAGTGCTGCGCTTGCCATTGTGATGAACTTGGCAATTAGCTCTCCGCTTTGCAAACACGGAGGCCAGATGCTTCCYGCTGTGGGAGGTTTGCAGTAACCACAGCACTACTGAGGAGCAAAACACAGAATTAGTGTTTTCCAGCTCTCTAGGAAGCTTTGTGTGGCCGCTCCCAAGGGCCCATACTAGTAACGTAGTTGCAGCTCAGTGTTCAATGGTCCGTTTAAGAGCGGGTGCAGGAAAKTATCCATAAAACATCAATTCTTTCTATTATGGGCAAGTTGCCTCCTGTCCAAGTGTTTCACTCTTTTGTATGTACTTACCCTAGCAGGGTGTATGGCAGTAGTGGCTTCCTTGTGATACGGATGCAGAGCTGCAGCAAAGGGACTACGGCTTCAGTACCACAGAAATATTTAAGTGTCCCAGCCCGGATGGCTGAAATAACTGTCACTATTCTCRTTAAATATCCTGCTAAAACTCAAACATTTAGTGGCCCTCGTGGATGCCCTTCGTACTGCTTGATTTTCAACCTCAAGAAGTTCTTATGTGTTTAGGTACTATCTAAGTATTGCCAGGCCTTACTGCAGGCTGGCTCACACCGTCACACTTCTAGGTGTCGTGAAGTTTAAAGCATGACAGTGGGATATGTGCTCTATCAACTTAAGTTATTTAATAAATAACAAACTAAAAACCAAATTTCCAGAACGAAAATGGTCTGGTCTATCCCTGTGTGCTGCCTGAGAAGGATCTTGAAATAGCAACTGAAACTGGACATAAAGAAATGCAGACTTTCTGGTTGTGCTCATGAGTCTTTATGTGGGGTTATAGGCGTTTATGCATCACCTGGCTCTTGTTTCAATGAGGAACAAACCAAGAGAGAAGAATTTGGAGAGCTTTTTCTGTGAAGCTCTTTCTGATAAGCTCAGCTGGTGGATGAGTTCAAAAAGCTACCAATGTATGGTCAAAATGTGTGCTGTGCTCTGAAAAGACTGTTTTTTGTTTGTTAAATGCTTTATTTCTTGCACCTTGTAAAAACAAATTATAGAATATTTTTTCTAACTGTTTGTTATTTTTTTTTTTTTTTCCCTCCAGTGAATCCAAAAGGCTGGAATTAGAGAGAGAACTGCTCGACTACAGGAAATCTGATGCATACTTGTAAGGCAACTTAAAAACTTCATATGCTTATTTGATTTTAGTAGCGAGGATTATAATGTGGTACTTTTAGAATGAAATTTGACAATTTTTCTAACAATAATTTTTATATTCACATCTTAAATATAACACAAGCTCCTTGTCTCTAAGTCATTGATGAAGTGACTTCCRTAATAATGGAAGTTGCATTATTACTTCCATACTAAACACCTTTCTGGGTTTTAATACTGACATGTTGACTTAGTAATGACTAGTATTATCTGGTTTTGTGCAACTTTTGCCAAATCACTGTAGCCCAGTTTATGATTAAGAAGTCCTAGAGTCTTTGGACTTTTAGACTTCAGGGATGTTCTGGTCTTGTTTTAAGTGTTTCTTTTGTCAAATGTGGTTGCAAAGCTCATCAAAATGAGTCTTCTCAGTTACTTCCAGGGACTGAGAGTTAGGTGACCAAATCCCTTAGGAACTCCTGTTCTTGAACAGGGCCCTTATGTTAGAAAATAAACATGTACAGGGGAAAAAAAGTCTAAATATGACTAAATGCATCTATTTTCTATTTGATCTATTTGAATCTAACATGTTTTGAGATGGAGCATTGGCAGCTTGGGGAATTTAGTTYGCAGTTTTACAGCTGATTTGAGTTTGCCTGTTGGCAAACTGAGACCAGGAGAGGTGGTTCTGTCTGCCCCCGGTTCGTGTTTTCCCTTTGTTGGCACTAAGAGTTTGTGGCTGCCCTGTAAYTGGGAAAGAGAATTGATTTGTCTGAAAATGAATCTTTTTGAGCGGTGAATGAGAACTAGTTTAGGGGTCTTTCAGCTGGATGRCTCTTGTCTGATCTATCACCTGACTGTGTAATGGAGAGTACTGGCATTAAAAAAAAGTCTGAGTGAGATGCTGCTGTTGGTGGCAGCTTGGATTTAGACTGTCTTAAAGCAGACACAAAACCACAGTCTTAGTACCACAGCTTGTGTCTCAAAATGCTGCTTTCATTTTGAGTAAATGTGAGATGTATAGATATATATATACACGTCTAGAGCACAACCCATTTAAAAGTAGTTTTTCAAAAGTTTGCCAATGTGTTTATTTTTCAAACATCAAAAATCATGTTCAAATCTTAAGCTGTATGACAGTAATATCCTGAAAGTTTTTTTARTAAGATTGCAATATCCATGTATTTGTTTTAATTTTATGAGCTTTCAATGCCTTTTCTTATTTTTCCCTGCAGAGCAAAACTGAAGTATGTGAAGCTAAAAAAGTACTTGAAAGAAATAGAGGAGCGACAAAAAAAGGCCTTGCTGCGAAATCAGATGTTTTTGAAGGAATTCATTGAATTTGAAGCTCATATGAAAACCTCAAGTGCAGAGATAATTCAGAAGATGGAAGTAATTTTTTTCAAGATGTAATACAATAGCGTTCGCTGCTATTACAAGGGTTGCTACATTGGTTTTGTTCATGTATTCTGACCATTGGGGAGTTTTAAAAATTTTGCTGGCATGAGTACCATAAATGATCAGTTCATCTAACCCTTGCCTTATGGTCAGTGGCTTCATCACTGGTGGGAGTACAGGAGTTAGGCACCTCCTTTTAATTGATAACTGCCCTGCTTGAACCATCTGGTGTGAAGCAGAGCTAAAAGGAAGCTGCAGTCAACCCAGTCACTAGACTGTTAACTGGCAACGTGTCRGCAGTGGTAGCAGGAAAAGCTGTTCTTGCTCCACGCAGGCTTTTGCTGTTGGTAATGTTGCTGTGCAGGTGCACAGACCTGCAGAGGGGAGCTCAGTTTCCAACTTCCCTGCTCTGCTGGTAAAGTGAAGCCCAAGGAATGTTCATAACTCGTGTCCTTCACTGTGCGAGACAACTGATGTCACAGAAAGTGTTAATGTTAAATGACCACTATAAATGGAAGCAGTGCCCTGCAGGGTATTTACATCTTGCTGCTTTATAACACATGAAGGAGATGGCAAATGTCTGTCTTAGCTTTCCTTGCTTCTGACCATGATGCTACCATCTCAAGCTCCCTTTGGCAAATGTACWCTTTTGAGACAGCTCAAGCTCAAGTTGACAGTTTGAGAACTTCTATTGGGATGAAATATTGCAAAAGTCTATTAAACTAATACTATTTTTTAATTTTAAATGACTAGTTTAAAAGTTTCCGCAAGAGGTAGAAAGCATGGACGGTCATTCCTTTTGAAAAGCAAGATGAAACCTGTGCTCTCATGGACAATGACCTTTCAGTAGTTGCTTTTACACCTCTGTTACTCRGGCTGTGCCTGTTAGTTTCAGCTGTTCTGGTCAGCAGTTGTGACTGTAGAAACAGTCGCCAGCAAGTCAGCTACGTTCGGAAGGGTTTCCTCTTTGGAAGGCTGTTCTCATCTCCTGCTAATCCCTCCTGGGCTCTGTTTCCCTGTGATGCCTGGAACTGGAAGCGAGTGGGAGCTCTTGTGTCTCTTTTTTTTGTAGTGAGTCTACCTAGAACTTTAAAAATAGTGTATTAACAAAGTCTGTGGAAATAAACCCACTGTTTATAGTGATTTAAGTATTGAGATAAAATCAGCTACTGCTAGGTCTCAGGGTTTTTTTTTTTTTTTTTGTAATGCTTTAGTAAAACTTGATTTCTTTGCTTGCCTATCTTTCAGCCCCTCTCATTTGCAAATATGAATAGACTTTTTTGTTTCTCTTTTTAATCCTCTTAGGGTGACTGCAGTCAGGCCTTTCTTCATGGTTTTGTATCAGGCATACTGTTTACATGCTGAATGTTTGCATTTGTATTGCTTTTTTAATAATTAGTACAATAAGAAACCTGTAGTAAGAGCTTTCTGCATGTCTTTTGTCCTAAATGTTTGAAACAAACTTGATCAGGATCCATATTTAAGGTTTTATGATAGAAAAGATATTTTCTAATCATAACTTGTGACTGAAGTACTTTTAATAGGCTACTGCTGGGCAGCAGCCCTGCCTTGAGGGTTTGGAGCTGTGTTATTAATAGCACGGTGCATCCTATAAAATGCAGAACAATTAGGGGTGCTGCAAAGTGATACAGGCTGGTAATGGCTTGGATTGAAAAATAATTCCGGTGATATCTGGTCCCACACGAAATAAGCGGAGTCAGGAATTGGGGAGGCAAAAAGTTCAGCTCTTGGATGACAGAAGAGGACTGAAAGATGTTGGAGATGGACTGGACTTTGAAGGCAGGAGAGAGCTGATCTATCCAYGTGCCGAACCCTTCAGAAGTAAGGCAGCTCTTGGGAAAAGGGTGGTAATTCCTTCCCACTGCAGTAGATCAATTAGCTGGCTAGCACCCTGTGCCGGCATAGCGATCTTAATAGCTCCCTGCTATACCAGCTGGGGGCTGGGAATTTTAAGCCTGTTGAGTCTGCCTTTCATGGAGCAACTTTTCTTGCCTTTTTTTGCATAGCACTTCCAGCTGCCCCTTTGAGAACCTGCTGGCTCTGGACACCTTACGTGGCCACACGTGTGTCCTGCCGCCAGTGCGACACAAAGTGGGCCAGGGCACCCTGTGACCCAGAGCGGGGCCTTAAGGCTCTAGGTATTTTCTGCTCTTGCCCTTAATTCAGCTTAGTCATGTGTAGCTCGGAGCCTGTTTTGGGACATTAATATCACAGTTAAAAAGGGAACTAAATTTTTCCTCAATGATTTTAGGGCTTTCCTTGGGTAATTTAAGGCCATTGTGTATTGATACAAGGCGTGCTGTGCCCTGGGTTGGTCTGCCTGCAGTGTTTTCCTTCATTACTTCCATTTTGAAGTTTCTGTGCCATCCATTTTACACTTGCTGGGTTAGACTGAATTTTCTGAGCTGTTGAACAAAGCACAGATTACAGACCCTTCACGTTACAGTTCTGAAAACCCACTTGTCATGGATTGCATGACAGTTATAAACAATGCAATAATTTCACTTATCATGAAAGTACCCAAACAAATTACAGTATTTTTCCATTTTTGCTAGAGAGAATACATTTTAGGAKGGTTTTATCAGGACTATATGCAGAATTTACTGTATAGCTGTAGCTGACAAAACTACTTTGGTTTCTGAACGACWTTTTTCTTGTGTTTGTGTGTCCAAAGTTCGTTCAGTATTTGTTGGGAATGTAAGTAAAATCACCTAAGCTTTTGGAGGAAATCAGCATTATATCCAAATTGATTTGGAGCACTGGCAGAATGATTGCATGGGTTTCTGTTGTTTTTAAATATTAATGTTTTGAACTGCTTCTAACACTTGGAAAATAGCAGACTTTGTTAAAGTTATTGTTGGAATGGAGCACAGAGTGGTTCGAATGTTTTGTTGCAAGACTTAATTTTGTGCACATTATCTGATGCAAAGTAGGTATTGAAGTGCATTCATTCTGGACTGGTGTAACTTGTTATTGGGGTTTACAATTACCAACAAACAGGATTAATTATAGGTGCTGCCCGAGCTCGGCTTTTAAGCAGGACCCCCCCATGAATGTATTATGTTCAGTCAATTAAACAATGTAGTGGAGGTGAAGATATTTTATGCAGTTGTTTATTAATAACACTAGAGCCAGCTGCCTTTTATCCTGTGCTGCTCTTTATAACAGCTGGCAAATATATATATATATATATGTACACACACACATTTTGCCTTAGAGTAGCTAAGGGGGCTTTAAGATGATACACATAAAGCAAGTACTAAAGCTCATTTCATCACAGAGCAGTTGAGTCATCTGGCTACAGCAAAAATAATTTGGCATTACAGGACATGTTGTGATTAAATCTGAGTCAAGTTCTTACTGCTTTGTAGGCTTCTAAATGAGATGAATGAAAAAAAATATATATATATATATGAAGCCTGCAGAAGGCTACGTACAAGCCACCATGCTCCTCAGGGAGACAGGAAAATTGGGGGGAAAAATGATGTTTCTGGCTTTTTAAGTGTAGACCAAGTAGAGGGGTGTTTGGCATCACAGTAGCAAGTACAGCTTGCACAGTAATGTGTTTGGATTTCAATGTTTGTTGATTTGTGTTTGTACTTGCCTTTAATGTTATGTAATGGCTTTGTTCATGTTTAGGTACAGTATGGAAGAGAAATGAGAAGTGTGCTATCCCATCAAGAGAGTAGCTTGCCAGCATGGGGCGAAGAAGGCAGTGAGCAGGTAATGCCAAAGAAGTGTGAGGGGAAGGTGTGTTTTAATACAGTACTTCAGAGGGAAGCACCTTAGTGTAGTAAGAGCCAAATATTGTCACGTGAAGACTTCGGGGCGAGGGGTGTTTTTACTGTGGCTGCTGCCCGGGGATGTTTAGACACCTGAGTGAGGTAAAATAACCGGGGTAAATAGTGCAGTTCTCTCAAAGAACTAGAGTTCATAAAGGGGAGGGTGGAAAGTCTGAATGTTTATAGTCATCTCTCCTGGGTTTGGTCTTTGTGTGCTAAATAATACAAAAATGGTGTAAGCCTAGGAAAAAATATTCTTGATGAATGATATTTAAAAAAGCCTCAATTGATTTGTGTGTTGTGTTTGTAATTTTGTACGTTTTGACCTTTTCCTCAGAAGAAGCAAAAGAGATCACCTATCTAAGTAACAGACAAAAAGACTGACAAGGAATACTTAAATATATTCTGCTATATATCTGCAGTAATGCAGGCTTCTAATCCCTCCTCCTATCTCCATATAAATGATACAGTTCAAGACCATAGCTGTTTTCTTCACTAAAAGCAGTAAAGCCCTTTTAGATGAAATGTCTAAAAACATCTTGTAATAACTTGGAGCATGCTGGCAAGAGTAGTCACTTGTGACTATGTGTGAAACCCCCTCAGCCAGTCGATATTGTAATAAGCAGCAATGGTAGCATCACTCCATTATGCAGGGAAGCCACCAGCATGCGTGTCCCTTAGGCTACAGCATTCATTAAGAAAAGCTTACTGGGCTGAAAGCTGGAAACAGATGATAACGGGATATGATTTTCATATTTAATGCATTCCTTGGAAGAGTGTGTGTGCTGCAGATTGATAGAAGAATCAACTGCTACTTTACTAAAAGACTTTCTAGTTTGCCCTATAGCTACCGATGGAATCATTCAGCCAAGAAATTAACTTTTTCTCCTTTTACCTGCTTTATATATCTGCTAAGCAGGCTGCCTGGCTGCCAGTAAATGTTATTATGCAGTTAAATGTTTGGTATTTAAGACTCTTATCAGAAAAGAAACAGAGGCCACACTATTTTGTTTTTAGAGCAGGAGGAAGGTTTTCGTTTTCCTTTCTTTGGTGCATTAGCAGTTGTTAATCTGAGTTTATAGGAAGTTGTCCCCCCGCCCCTCCCCCAGATTAAAAAGTTAAAAACCTTGAATTTAGAGCATTTTCTAGCCACTAATATACAAAGCAATGAACCTTAGCAACCTTGACCTGCATAAGCAGGCCTTCAGCAATCTGTGTATGTTAGAAACATGGTTCACATATGTGAAAAGATGAGTTGGCTTTTGAATACTGGATTCTTTAATTAAAAACTGTTTGTGGAATGCAATATTTAACCTATAAAAAGCTGTTTTTACATGAATATTAGACCTCAAAGGCTCACAGTGACTCTTAGATTTTTGAAAAGGCTAAAATATTTTGGACAATACAAGAACTTGTTACATAACCAAATGGGTCACTTGATATTACATTATAATTGTGGCTTGATTGACAAGTCTTTTCTGCTCCCTTTTTTTCCTTCTTGTTTCTCTTAGAATACAAAGATACTGCACTGAAGTTCATCCTTTTGCCAGGAATTTAACCTGGGGGTGTTAGCACAGCTTAAAACCCATTGCTCCTTTGGGAGGCTTGACACCATTGTGGCTGAAATAAGTCTGTTCTAAACAAGTTCCTGGAGAGTTGATAGTGTTGCTCTGGTAAAGGGTCTGTTTATATCCCACGTCTTGGGTCTTGTTTTACAACTCATTTTTTTAGGCTAATTGTATCTAAAAGGTAGTTTACTACCAAACTCGTCTCACTTGCAATCTGCTGAAGTTGCATTAAAAATACAGGGATGGTGAGTAAGTAGCAGTGAGCATAGGTGTTAGCAGGAGGGCTAAGAAAGGAGGACTGTTGGCCCTTGGCATGGTCCTGCCCGCGGGGTTGATCTGTGGAGCCCTGSAAGTTTTACATGGGAGAACTCGGAGAGTGAGGACGATGCTGAGTGGGCCCCGGGAGCCGTAGGGCAGCACTAACCCAGCTCGGGATACACTGCCTTCCTCTTCCTTCCCACAGGAAGCCCTATTGCTGCTCTTTGGGAGACAAGKCAAATGGAATAGCATATCCAGGAAGCAAAATCATCAGAGCTTGGAACTGTTTCCATTGACTAGGAATTAGGAATTGGCCCAGTGGCAGGGTACAGAGAGTGGTAGTCAGTGGCACGGAGTCTAGTTGGAGACCTGTAGTTAGTGGTGGCCCACAGGGGTCGGTCCTCGGTCCGGTCCTGTTCAACTTATTCATTAATGACCTGGATGAAGGGCTAGAGTGCTCCCTCAGCAAGTTTGCTGATGATACCAAACTGGGAGGAGYAGCTGAYAGCCCTGAGGGCTGTGCTGCCATCCAGAGGGACCTGSACAGACTGGATGACTGGGTGGCTAGAAACCKCATGARGTTCAACAAGGACATGTGCAGGGTCCTGCACTTGGGGAGGAATAACCCTGGACACCAGTACAGATTAGGGGTGGACCTGCTAGAGAGCAGCCCCACAGAGAGGGACCTGGGTGTCATGGTGGACGACAAGTTGACCATGAGGCAGCAGTGTGCCCTGGTGGCCAAGAAGGCCAACGGGATCCTGGGGCGCATCAAGAAGAGCGTCTCCAGCAGGTCGAGGGAGGTGATCATCCCCCTCTACTCAGCCCTGGTGAGGCCACATCTGGAGTACTGCGTCCAGTTCTGGGCTCTCCAGTACAAGAGGGATGTGGAGCTGCTGGAGACAGTCCAGCGCAGGGCTACCAGGAGGATCAGGGGCCTGGAACATCTGCCCTATGAGCAAAGGCTGAGGGAGCCGGGCCTGTTCAGCCTGGAGAAGAGGAGGCTGAGGGGGGACCTGATCNTCTGGAGTCCTGTGTCCAGTTCTGGGCTCCCCAGTACAAGCGGGATGTGGAGCTGCTGGAGAGAGTCCAGCACAGCGCTATGAAGATGATCAGGGGCCTGGAACATCTGTCCTATGAGCAAAGACTGAGGGAGCTGGGCCTGTTCAGCCTGGAGAAGAGGAGGCTGAGGGGGGACYTGATCAGCGTGTATAAATACCTCAAGGGAGGCAGTGAGGAGGAGTGGGTGGCCTCTTTTCAGTGCTGGCCAGCGACAGGACTAGAGGAAACGGCCACAAGCTGAAGCACCAAAAGTTCCACAGGAACTTGAGGACACATTGCTTGACAGTGAGGGTGACAGAGCCCTGGAATGGGCTGCCCAGGGAGGTTGTGGAGTCTCCTTCTTTGGAGATCTTTAAAACCKRCTTGGAYGCAGCCCTGTGCCACGTGCTCTAGGTGACCCTGCGTGWGCAGGGGGGTTGGACTAGATGACCTCTGAGGTCCCTTCCAACCTTAAGCATTCTATGATTCTATGACTGTCCTGCTGAAATACTGTTGCTTCTGGACTAGTTAGGATGCTTCTGGTCATGTTGTCAGCAATACKTGATCTTGCATTCATCCCTGGTTTCTGTGGCAGATTTTGCTGGCTTATTTTAAGACATAGCKTAGGTCAGTATTACTCAGATCCTTAATTTTGAGAAGTTTTGTGAAGGATTGGGTTAAACTAGTGAATATTTGTCTCGGTTTTGTGGCTTTATGTGAATGAATTTCACTGTTGACARGGAAGGTAAAAACATTCAACTGCCAGGCAGTTCTGTATTGTGATGTATACATGGTAAAGTCTCTTAAAAATGGTGTTTGAGGACCTTTAAAACAAGGAGGAAAGGGATAACCTAGGGTTGTGTGTAGCAGGCTCATCACAACAAACTCCTTTAGATACAGGCAATTCAGGAAAGATAATCTATTTTGTATGCCTTGGGAGATCAGATAAAGGATGGATTTCCAGACCTTCCTACTTTTTATGTAATTTTGCTGTTAGTAAAACACATGGGACCAGGCTCTTGCCCAGACCAGCAGTTGAGATGGTGCTGGTGTCCTAGGGAAGCATCTTGTAGGCTTGGTTGCTGCTCTGGTGGTAGTATCCTGGGTTTGAAGGACAAATAGGGTGTCTTGTTTGTTATAGGTCTCACTATTGGTGTYATCACTGGGCAAGACACAGGTGAAGGTGTAAACTTACTAGGAAGGATGAGTTTGTACAAGGAAGGCAGTAGAAAAACTGCTATGACGCATTAGTAGAATGGGCTATGGCTGGGCAGCCTCCTTGGCTCCCTCTGAGGGCACTGGCCTTCTCTAGACCTCCTTTTTTTCAGCCCCTTATTCAAAGGGGGCTTCTGGAGCACCTGCAGTAGCTGCTCTGAGCACCCTTGTCCTGCCCCTCTTCTGGACATGGGAGTATTTCAGGGCAAGGAGAGAGGACTGGTAGCTTTCTCCTCTATCCCATGCTCCAGAGTTTGTTTTTGATTTGTAGGTGCTTGTATGTAGGTTTAGTTGTATGCTCTTAGCTCTTGGATACTGCAGCACGTAAGTCACMGGTCAGCAAGGGAGATGCAAAGTGATGTATGAATAAAAATTGTAGATATAGTAAAATTAATAATGGAAAAGGATTTTGGATGATATCTATTGGTAGGGCTCTATGTCTTGCTTTGTGAGAAAGTTTTAAAAAATGAGTTTCATTCCTTTAACTTCAGTCTAATTTAATGTAGCGGGGGATGCAATACTTTGTCACGGACTGTTTTGGTTCGCAGAGTTTCTGTTGGGCAGAACACACAGTCCCACATTTCTTTTACACGTTTTTTCTTTAGAAGAATTTCTCCTCCMTCCCAACTATTTACCGATTTTAAATCCTCCATATAATCCACTATCTATTTCTTGTGTGTGGTAGCAGTGGGGAAGATGTTGACAGGTAACATCACATTTTTAAAGGAATGCTTTTTAAGTGTTTGCATAGTTCTTGTAATGCTGTATTTTTCTAGAGACTATTCCTACTCCTTTTCCCTCCCTAGTAAGTAGGGAGAGTTCTCCAGAACAAAACTGAGCTGCAGATGTGCAAGTGTGTAGGTGCCAGACTTGCCATCTTGATGAAGGGTGGTGGTTTCTAGATGATTTGATGAAGCAGCATTCCTAAGCACCTGAAAACATGAGGAAATGGGTGGTGGAAATGGCCTTCTAAGCTCATGGGTTTTCTTATTTTAAAACTATATGAAGAACTGACTGCCCAGAACATTTAACTGTTGGAGGAGCTGTCAGAAGGCATGTTGAAAGTGAAGGCCAAGAAGTTCTTCTGCAGAGTCTTGCTAGCTTTAGCATCGCAGATAACTGGCTTACCCTGAGTTAGAATTATTCATTTTTACACTGYTTCCAAAAAAAAAAAATCTTAATCAAGAAAAAGTGATGAGGTAATTACTGTTGGGAAGCTGAAAATAGCAAGTACCTACCAAAACCAACTCTGCATTTTGCGAATGGAGRTTTGCACCTTGTTTCTTTTAAAGCAAACAAAACTATTTAAACAATATAATTTAAATATTTTTAATATCAGTCTTTTGAATATGAGTGAGTTTTTTAATATCAGTTTTTGTAATGACTGCTCTTCAGAAGCCAGCATGTAAGTGTCTAGAAATTCCATTTGTAACTTATTTTTTTTTAAATCCATCTTCACCATGTATTTTTTTCAGGTGCCGCTTGTTGCAAGACAGGCAGGAATTAACCCTGGGACAGCCATGTCAAGAGGACTGTATCACCCAGCAACAATCTTTATGGGCCGCCAAATGTCAGCCATCTCAAGCACTGAAGATTTCAGTACACAGCAGAAATCTTGCCAGCCCACCAAGAGCTTTTCAATTTCTGACCCATATTCATGCAGACAGGCAGCGCAGAGCAGTAATGTGACAGACAGCTGTGTAGTACAAACTAATAGTGATACGTGGTGCTTAAATAGGTCTGACAAAATAGATGTGGAGACAAATCTCCAGATGGGTGAGAAAATGCCAGTCACATCCAGTATATCATCAGAGAATGGAAGAACTCGCTGTCCAGCAATAGAAAATAATACAAATAACAGGCAAATTAATTTAGCAGCAAGTGAGAAGTCTGCTGAAATCAGCCTTCTGTCACATCAAAAATTAGGTCCAGAGAACAGAACCAGTGATTTAGAAAGTGACAGTTCTAGCAGATCAGTAAAAGCAGTAGTGACATCTGAGCACTTTGGAGCAAACGATGGAAGATCTAAACAGCCACTTCCCTTGGTATCTACTGTTGCCCCARTCATATCCAAGAAGGAGCATCCACAGGGAAGTTTACCAGGTATGGCAGCGCGTGGGTGCGTGTGATGGACTTGTCTGCTTTAGAAGATGCATATGACCACTGTGATAGAGGAGATAACTCTGCAGGTGGTAAGAAAGAGGCTGGGATGGGTTTTGGAGGAGTGATATTGAAAGACTTAGTAGGTGTATTGAGATGTGCAGGAGATATTTGTGTTTCTGTGGACATAGAACTAAGTCAAGAGTGACTGATCTGGCAGCATCAGCAATTCGGAGCAAGTTCCTCTATGTTCTTTTCCTTCCTCTATATTGCTCCTGTTTAGCATGCAGGTTGTTTGGTTTTGAGGCACTGGCCTTGGTCAATATTTTTGGTAACAAAAAGTAATAATTGTATGAGTTGGCATTGCTGTGGATGGCCGTAAATGCTGAGGTGGGGTCAGTGAAACTCCAGAACCTGGAGCTATCACTGCTCTCTGTGACAGCTCCAGGCTGTCACTTCAGGCTGCTGAGCTGTGAAGGAGAGAGGCTCCTTTATTCCTTTCTCTGTATCCCTACGTAAAACCTTCTCTCTTAACTTTGTATGATTTGTGCATGTGGCTAAAGGATCTGTTTTCTGTCTTGTGTTGGGAGATCACAGGATCCCTGAAGTTGGAAGGGACCTCTGGAGATCAGCTAGGCTAATTCCCTCTTGTCAAGCCGGGTCACCTGAAGCAGGCTGCTCAGGACCTCATTCAGGGTGTTTGGGATCTTTCCAAGGGTGCACCTTCCATAAGCTCTCTGGGCAACGCTCAGTCACTGTCCTAGTAAAAAGCCTTCCTGTTTGGATTATAGTTTGTTAGCTGTGCATCCTCGTGGGAGGAAAAATGCACCGGCTTAGATGGCTGAAGCAGGTGCCGTGAAAATGTCATCCATCACCTGGGCATAGTGGCAGGGTAAGTAGCTGGAAGTGACCTAGTCTCAGAAGAAAGCACTTTGTCAGTGTTGCTCCCTGTTGTTGCTCCCTGCCCTCCTGCTGTCCAAGGTACTGGAGAAGGTTGGAGCCTCTAACAGGCGCTGGCTGCAGCTGCGCTGGACGAGTCACACTTGCTCAATATTGCTAGAGAGCTCTCCCCTCTGGAGCGGATTCCTCAGCATTCCTCTTCAGCCTGAAGGACACCACTGGAATGAGAAGGGGGATGGCAGTCCTCCCGAACAGGCAGGCACAAACCCATGGATTTGTGTGTGTTTTTTCTCTTTTTTTTTTTCTTTTCCTCCTCCTTTTCCTGTGGCACTGTGTTTGAAGCACGGTGGTGTTTTTTTTTTCCCCCCTCTTTATTGACAGGATTTCTTCCCAGGTCATTCATTTAGATACGCGTAGGTTTGTGGAGGGGCACCTCTGTTCAGGGTTTCTCGGTTCTTTGGGTGTTCTGAGGCTCCCCAGAACTGCTGCTCCTGCTCTGCCGAAGACACTTCTCGTCCCTTGTCGGACAAGATGGTGCCTGGATCTCTTCACCTCTCTCTCGGGACCTTGTTGTCGTGCTCTCCACCTTGGGCAGACAAAACGGACATTCAGGGCATGTGCAAAGCAGCAGTTTCAAGTGAGTAGCTTTAGCTGGGTACCTGTTTAACTCAAAAGTTCTGGACCTTCTGCAGTCTTTCCTAGTGCCTCCTATGAGGCTACTTAAAGCAATGGGTTTATAGGCTTATTGCCTACCCAAGACAGGCCTCAAAGTTTATATGGCCTCTGAGATTGCTGTCCTGCTGCGGTGCTTCCTGTTGAGTTGGAGGCTTGTCCTTTCCAGGGAATTTTGCTGAGTCTGATGCCCATCTGTGCAGGGGCAAACTGCTCAGAGCTGCTGCAGCTCCATGGTGTCCATCCAAGCCTATCTCGAGCAAAGAGCAGGAAAGTCCTCCCTGCTTTCTGTCCACAGCTCTCTTAAAATGAGGCTTCAACAAATTCAAGTTTAATGTTCATTTATTCCTCTGTGAAAATATGTATTTGGGGTTGACTTCTTTCCTCTCCCAGAGTTTGCGCAGGTTATTCAACCATTTCTTAAAAAAAAGAGAGATTTCAAAAAATAGGCCCAGGAATCAGTGTTTTCACATGTTTTACTGCCTGAATTAYGGTTTTCCAGTTTGTTCCGTGCCTTGCTAAGACATCGATGCGGTTTTTAACCCAACAGAACATTTCAGCTGGGCTGATGCGGTGCCTCAAAGACCAGACTGCCATTTTTCCCCTCCCTAACTGTTTTGGCAAGATGGTTTCGGTTCCATTTTACTAGCTTGATGACTTATTTTCACAGTAAGCTGATGGACTTGTTTTTAAAGTCCTGGTGTTAGATGTGTCACTAAGTAACAGTTTATTGCCTTTAAACATCTTTTAGCAACATTCTCCCCTGCCTTTCCAGTAAACGTGGCAATTTTCAAGTTAAACTAGTTTTCCCAGCCACATAAYGATTGCTAAAATGGAGCTTTTTATAATGAAAACTGATGGCAACCCTAATGATGCAGGGAATCCTGTTCTCCTGTAATGATCATGCTTTTCTTTATAGACAAAAATTGGTGTCCCTATCAGATCATCCTCTGTACTTTTTTCTTATTTTTTTTTTTCAGGCATCCTTTTTCTAGAGTTTTTTTTCCCTCTAGGGATTTTATTTGCCTCTCATTTTCTTTCATCTGGTGCCTTTGCCACTCCTCCTTTGTACCAGAAGCCTGTCCTCGTTCGAGCAGGCACAAGTCCCGGCCGCCCCAGCTTGGCCTTGGTGCTTGATGCACCCCTACGTGCTGCTCCTCCTCTTTGCTCCCCCGTCGCTGGTCTTAGGGGTCAGTTTTGTGTCTGGAGAAGGGACGCTCACTAAMTTCCTACTGTGCCCTGTGCGGGGAGCCCATGGGAGCATTTGGCTGCCCTTGGCGCACAGAGAGGTCGACTCCGAGGGCCCCTCTGCCCTTGTCCACAGAGTAGCGTGAAACGCGGGAAGGGAGGGATCTCGTTACTCCTAGGGAAATCCAGCAAGCAAACAGCACCTTATCCCTGCCCCTCCAAACGGTCTCCCTCCCCTTTTTCATGTCCCAGGAAATAGTGGCATTTGCGACATGGATTAATTCCGTGAGCCTGGAAACAAGGCTGAGTGTAAGGTCCTGGCATCAGCTGCTGATTGCCATAGATCTAGAGTAATCCGCTCCGACTGAAAGACTAGGGCTGGAGATGTGAACGGTGGGTGCTGTAGCGGTAGCTCCCATGTGAACGCAGGCTAATGTGAAGCTGTGATGAATTTGGGGGAAAACTGGGGAATTTCTGTGACAATCCATTACAGATTTTTTTCTTTTMTGAAAACAGGTTAGAAAGTGGTATTTAGGAGTTTAGAGGTATAATTCAGCCTTATCCTCTTTCTTTAGAGAAGACCATCTATATACAGAGTTTGAAGAGCTGCGGCASGCAGCACTTCTGCGAGGCTTGAAGAGAGGTTATGGCAGCACATTCAGGGTCTTTCCCTCCCAACACACTTGTCCAAGTCGTTCTGTTTCCTTGTGTGCTTGGAGACAGTTTAATAAAGCAGCTGGGCCTCCCGCTGCTGCTTATTTTTGAGTGGTACGGGGAGGATGCCGTCCCCTTGGGAAGCAGCCCAGAGAGGCAAGAGGGAAATATCAGGCCTGGAGGTTCATTGAACTCCCCCTTGTGAGGAAAGTGCAGAAGGACAAGGGGAAGTGGCCAGGGAGTAGATACCTGGTTGTTCATTACGTTACAAATAGGTGAATGTGCAGAATCGATTCATGTTTAGTTCTGTGCAGCGCACTGCATTCCTTACCAGGACCCTCTTAATGTTTTGAAAATACTTGTGGCTTTTATAGAACCGGAATGTCACGCAAAAACCTCAAACGCAGTGAGTTCCGATAGCAGCAGCAGCAACCTCACAGTCTCGGTGACCGAAGAGGACGACATGATAAATGCCACTGAACTGCAGCGGTGTCTCGGAGCCACCTGCAGCGAGGGGACATTAGAAGCAGTCAGCTTGGACCAAGAGGGAGGCACCCGCCCCGCAGAGGAGTTTTCTGTGCAGTCACCAAATTTGCATCCTGCAGAGGATGAGCCTTCATCTGGCTCGGCACAGGAAGGGTAGGTCACTCTGTCTTACCTTACAGCTCCTACTCATTTGCTGCTGTACAGCCTGAAGGCTGAAAGGTAGGGCAGAAACTCACACTCAGGTGGGTAAATTTCTTAGGTTTTAGAAAAATCACTTAGTATGGGCCTGTTTTCTGCCTCAGCTAAGATGCCTGGAATAATACAGTTCATCGTTCCTCTGGTCCTCCCCTTTTCATCTTAAATTCATTCATGGATTTCAGTAAAGGTCTAGTAAAGGTAACATTCCTGTTGTTTGAGGGGGGGTGAAGAAGGGCAAACACGTGCTCCCCCCCAGGCAGAAAAGCTGCAGAAGGGTCCTTGGTTGTGTCCTTTGTGGAGCTCCTGCCAGGTGTCCTTATGCATGCAGCTGGAATTGCAACTTGCTCCCTTGGCTAGTGGGAGAATGAATGGGTGCAACCAGCCCTGCAGGGAAGGGGCAGGAATATATAGCCCAAGTCAATGGAGAAGTATTTATTTACATGCGTGGGAGTGATTGAATGACTTCAGATAACTCTTCTGGTTCAGAGATGGACAAGTTAAATATGTTTGTTGTTAAGCTGTAATAAACTTATTCTTTAGGTATAAGCAAATTTTATTTTAGTATATTTAGTTCATATTACCTGTAACTTTCTGAATAGCATATTCTGAGTGTAGCTGCAGGAGGGTTAAAGTTTGAGTATTTCATTTAGAATAGCTGGGAGAGAATGAAAAAGTTTGGCTCAAGTCATAGAGGAGCCTACAACAATTCTGAAGTTGCTGTCTTTATTCTGCCTGTTCTCCCTAAGCAGCACATTTGTTTTCTATCTCTTTTCTTCTCTTACTTCCATCAGGCACTTCTGAAACTTTACAGTTTCATGTTTGTAGTTGCATATACCAGACTGCTTAATGGCAGCATCATCTCATTTGCATCTAAATAGCTTTTACAGAGTTTTCCTTTAGCATAACACCTGTTAATCATTCCATGTTGGGGGACATGTAGCACTTGCCTTTGCCTGACAAGTCAGAGCTGTGTGATGGTGACTTAACCTTTTGTTCCCCTTACAGAAGTTAGTGATGTTTAGTCTTGTCAACAGATGAACCCATCTCTGAGCACTACTTAGTCTATGGTGCTAAACCTTGTACCATAGACTCATCCTGTGTGAAAGCACCAACTAGAGGTGATTTCTGGTGGCTTTTCTCCATCTACTCGGCTCTCAAGCTCTGCAGAAAGGACTCAGCAAGTGTATTGATTTAAGTGTAGTCTTGGGGGGGGATTGTGCTCTTTGGGGAGGGAGTAGTGCTATAAGGGCACCCAACTTCACTTTGCCTCAGGTGAAACTCCCGATAACTTTTGGTCTTTGGTTACTTGCTGCGGATTTGAACTGGTGAACTCGGGGTGAAAGGCTCTGTATCCTTTTACCATTCTTTAGAGTATCCAGCCTTTCTTTAAGGGCTTAAAAAGCAGAGAAGAGGGGGAAACGGGTCGCTGAGAATTAGTACCCAGAAAGATGATGACTATTTTAAGGCCTGTGTTGAAGGGGGTGGAAAAAGGCAGAGCTTATGCATGTGCTGCTTCAGCTGCATTGGAGAGGACTTAGCCCAGATGGATTGTGCATTACAAAATGTAACACATAATTCAAGCTGTCAGCTTAATCAGGCTGTTTCCAGGAAGCAACCTGTAAAAGAGAAGGACCTCTTGTTTGCTGACCTCTGATCCGTAGCCTGCTGCAGATTGTCATACACTTTGTTTTGCTTTATGTTGGTGTCCCTTCCTTCCCCTTCTTTTTTTTTTATTATTGTATCCCCCTCAAGTGGCACCCTGGAAGGACCACCCAGAGGGAGAGGGACAATGGGGAAGGGGTTAGCCGTGAAAACACAGGTTTTTGTGAGACTTTGCTGAAGGGAAAAGCACTGTTTAACTGCATATGTGATCTCTCTGGTATTGTTTTGTGTGGGGAATGTCCAAGGACCCCAACTAAATGTGCAGCAGCCCAAGCCGAACTGTTGGCTGTTGTCAAGCAGCCTCCCAGAAAGGCCAAGTGCTCAATATATCTTAGTGTAATTGCAAAGCTGATGTAAATCTCAGCGTGATCAGCCTCCTGAGGGAGCGGAGCCCATATTTAAAGACCAACTGTATAAATATGTCAGCTCCCACAACAAAAGCCCCTTCTCGTCTGCAGGAYGTGTTGGGAGCACCTAGCCCGGCTGTGGCGTTGCTCCATGGAGCTCTTCCATGGAAAGACCTCAACAAAGCGGGCAAGCTCAAATCAAGATCTGAATAGCTATTTACACCACTGTAAAAGGATTAGCTGTGCTTTATTGTTTCAAAGTTTAAGTCCTAATTTGCATCATTATAGAGGTGCAGCTTCATCAAAATCCGTCTTAGGTCCCAGTTATGTCTCACTACCTGTAGGTGGTCACTAGATTAATTCYTTTACCTCCAGGATCTGAATGAAACTACTGGGTGCAGGAACAATCTAAATGCATTATTTCAGGTTCGAGCTGGTTTTTGGACAGTTTCAACACTATGGCCAAGGATTACTGTATGTAGTACCCATAGTTGTGTGATATTCCATCAGTGGAAGAGAATGTTTGAGCTGTGGGATTTGGACGTCTTGCTTGGGCTGTTCAGTTTATAGGCAAGGAGGGTGCAGGGCTCCCATGGGGATGTTGATCTGGCTGCTGGGTAGGTCGATCCTGCACTTACCTGGCACTTCTGGCCAAGCCTGTTCATGTGAATCTCATGTCCCAGCACCTGGAACTCTTTGACAGCTTCTGAATGGCCGTCGTGTAGTTTGTTTTTTATAAACAGCTTGTCTTGTGGCTGTTTTTTCTGAATAATCATTTTTATAACTCTTAAAGTTCACAATAAGATTGTAGACTTATCTGCAATATTCCCTTAGAACGGGGGAACTAGGTGAATTTGAACAGCCAAAGTCATTTGTCCAGCACAAGGATTTTATGGGCAATTACAGCACTGGAGGTGCTGCTTAAAGGAAATGCTGAGTGGCAAGGAGAAAAGATTTCTTTTTTAAGGCTGGGGTTATGACTAGTTGTGGCAGAGAGGCTGAAGAACAAAAGAGARGCTGCCATCACAGAAGTCAAGAATGAAAGAGGAAGGGATCTTTTGATCAGATAGAGTTGACTTTGTGAGAGAGAGGCAGGAGAAGGTTAAGCTTGGTATTAGCACTTTACAGGGAGGGTGGTTTGATTGAACATGCAGGATCTCTACCTTTTTACTAAAGCACAGAGGCTCCTGGAGGGCGTGCTCTGGAAATGTGAGATTCCCGCAGGAAATGCGAGGAAGAACTGGTTTACTTGCTTAGGAGCCTGAGAAAAATAACACTTAATGGAGTTTCAAGAAAACCCAGGAAATGTTTCCAAATGTTCCATTAGGTTTTGAAACAGCTTGAAAGAATGCTTGTTTGTTTTTAAATCAGGATTTTGTATGTCATTAGTGAAGTCGAAGTTTGACATAGCTGTGTCCTACAGCTTATTAAATAGCAGAGGGACCAGGTAGATGTTTGCGGATTTATGTTTGCAAACTCYTTATTTAACAGTTTTGCCACTTTGAACTCACGGTTATTCTCTGTTGTYTTAAACAGAGCAAGTCTCTGCTCAACCGAGACACCTACAGAGCCATGGGGCAAGGTCCCCTGCATGAGGATGAGCTCAGAGCATCAAGAACATGTTCRTGAAAGCAAAAAGAAGCACATGTTGCAGTGGGGTTTGGGGAGATGCTTAGCTCTGCACAGGTACCGGAGACCCCTGGAAGGTCTCAGTGCCTGTGAGATTCRGTGTGTGCTGGGATCAATCCCTAAGCTGAGCACGATACCTGGATGGTTGGTTTGCACGTGGAGTCCTCTGCTCTTCCTCCTGCTTGCGGTGCTGTCGAGGGGAACGTGGCCAAGGAGCTGCAAGCTGGGGGTCCTGCCTGCCTGGGCTTCGCTTAGGACTGTGGGCCTAGGTGGCCTGCCCTCTCCCTGCCCTGTTACAAGGTTAAATGTCTCAATTATCTCTTGACAGAAAGAACTGACCTCTGAAAATTCATTTTCTAATATGTTTTCCCAGATTTCTTGACATCTGTATTAGTCATGGGGTGGTTTCTTCAGCCAAGAAGAAATCAGCCCATGGTGAGTTTCTTCTCTTTCAGATTCTTCTTTCCACACCAGAAGCGGAAACACTATATTAAATGGTGGAAAAGACTATTTAGTTGTTATCCACTTTACAGTAACTTTTCTGTGCAGTTTCCTTTGCTAATTTTTCCTCATTTTCTTCATGCGTGAGTGTTCTCTGAAAGAAAATTTCCCTGGGAGATTACAGAGAACACTGTTTTTAATAGGRAAATTTCATTAGGCCTGCTAATGGTTTTTGTGTTCAGGTATCTTTCTTTTGCYTGTCATGCCCGTAGCCTTTTCGAACCTCTCTGGTCACTGGTGAAGACGACTTGTTGATACTGTGTTATTGGAGCTTAAATTCAGAGTTGTGGTTTTTGCCTATTACTTCTTGTTGTGTGTGACCAAGTTATCCAAATGAAGTCAAGCAGTGTTGCATTTGGCATTGGCAGCAGCACGGGCGGACCTGAGAGTAAGCAAGGACAGCAACTTTCTTGAAAGGTGGTCTCCCTAGCACATACAATTTCCTTCGAAAACTAATCCACAATATGCATAAAGTGAATTTGAAGAGTGAAGGGAGTTGTTGGTCTCGATTTTATTTCTACAGAGCTCTAACAGCATGATCTTAGTTGTGTATGTGGTATATGAAGTGGTTGTATTTAAAGTTACTTAGGGGTTCTCTGTATCTCACTCTTCTTTGCTTCTGTTGTCCCAAGTTTTCATTCCACAATTTCCTGCTTGTGTTTTGAGCTCTTCTGGGGGAGCCTAACAGCCAAAATGAGGGGATTCATTTTTGCAGCTTGCGTTGGGAATGTGTTTAAAACACCTATGCTAACTTAAGCTTCACTTGCTCTTTCTGGCCTATCTACAGGGATAGTTTGACACTTGAAGGATTCTCTCGTTTACTGCAGCTGGTAGAAGATTTGGTGGAGATGGGAAGTCCCAGGTGCCTGGCGCTGTACCAGAGAGGAAGCACAAGTGCTGCAGAGATGAACCAGCTAATAAGGTTAATGTCCTTTTCACTTGAGCTGTCGCTGCTGTTCTGAGTTAGCAGAAATAAGAGAAGATTATAGTGTTTCCTATCCCTTAATCCCATCTCATTTATTTTTGTTTGCTTGCTGTAGWACATCTAGCTGTAATGTTTGTAGTAACTTCATTGTTGATGACTTACAAGGTTTTAATTTAATTCAGGTGAATAATGACTTGGAGGTTGTTACCTAGCAGCTGTACAGTAGCYTTTGGAGATGTGAGCTAGTCTTCACTCTTCTGGTGACAAATGACTGGTGCAGAGAGCATGTGAGCTCCTGCAAATAAACATTTACTGTTACTAARAAGCCTCCCTCCCCTTCCCCTGTTTTAATGTCATCAGGGAGCTGAAATATAGCACTTAGAACTGCATACTCAAATTATTTCAACAAATACTCCTTAAATTTATCACTTCTTGCAACCTTGCTCTACAGATCTCTTAAGTGAAGCAAATACTTATTTCCAAGTGCAGGTTTGTCTCCGTAAAGTGGCTAATAATGCTTGTACTGAGGTAAAGAGCAATAAACAGAAAAATAATTTCTTCGCTGAGTCACGAGCAAAAATTGTTAGAATATTTCTAGGAGATGATGGAAAAAGGGCTTCCAGTAGGCTTGACCTGTACAGCCTACCATTAGATTAGGTGTCCTGCAACATAATTGCTTTGACTGTAGTGTGTTCAGGGCTGCTTGGACAAGAAATAGTTTTATCACAACAGCTCCCTTAATGGATGCGTGCAGGTGCCTCTTGTCTTTACCCCAGAATTTAACAGTATGCATGTGAACAAGCTCCTGGATGCTAATCAGATCACTCTGATGTCGTGTTAAACATTTTCAGGGTTCTCTCTGTAAAGGTGGTCTTTTTCTTTGTGGCATATGGCCATCAAATCTCATTTTCAATAAAATACATATGAATATTTTCTCTAGAAACAAGTGATAGATATTTTCAGTGCAACACTTATGGCAGTCAGAGCTTGCAGAGCCGTTTCTGGTTGATAGTAATTAGTGACTCCTTGTAATGGGTGGAGGGAGGCCCTTGCTCTTTCCTTGAGATAGATCCAAACTCTTCAGCTGATTAACCTGCCCGTGTTAGGTTGCTTTCACCAAGAGAAATCCCTTTACAGGAGTAAAATGACTTGTAGTCAAAACACAAAAGCTTAAAATTAAATTTATTAATTTCTAAGCATTATCTTTAACATCCCTGCTCTCCATTGTGTCGTTTCAGGAGACTTAGCTATGTGTTTCTCTGTTTACGTTGTTCCACTTAATTCTATTAGCCAAAGAATTGTTACACATTCTGTATCCAAACCTATCCTAGCTATGTCTTTGGGCTTTAAATAAACATTTCGCGCAGCACCTGCTTTATTTTGTAGCTTTTGTAATCAGGCTGGCAATTTGAAAGAAGAGGACCTTGAAGCCTGTGAAGCAGTTGTCCTTCACCAGCTTCAGCATCTATTACGGAGCACGCTGAATGGGTGCCTCTTACCTGAGACAGCACTTGATGYTCGAGGTAGACCTAGAGGAGAAAAGCAAATCAGGTATTGTAAACCTAACTTATCTATTGGGATGATGAACTCTTGTTTAGTGTCCAAATCTGTCTGAGATGCTGTCAGATTGAGAAAGCATAGCCTAGGTCAGACATCTGATTGATATTGGAAACAAAGATTTCTGAATAATGTTCTTCAGGTGTCACAGTACTAGCTTTGTGGTTCTAAATAAGAAGGTGAAGCACTTAGTGATTGGTTGTTTAAATTGTAGCAAGTAAGCCCTTCTCTTGAAGTTAGTGCATCAATTTATTTTTAGAAGTTAATTGTTAAATCTTCTGAGATTCATCCTGTAATCTTCAGTCACTACTTTTTGCTATCTAAGTACACCATTATCAGTAGAAGTTTGTGTTAAACTYCTACTTTGTGTGAGTGTTACACACTTGCATGTTGGTTATATGCTAAGTGTTTAACAGAAGAATGCATCTCTTCATGTTCAGAGAGGCAGATAAGACGATTTTACAAGGGTGTGGAAAAACACCTTTTGAGTTGCCTAATTGGTAACAGACTTTTATTACACCAGGCTGAACTAGCCTCGGTTTCCAGTTCATCACCCTGAGCTTGTAACATTACTCATCCTATTTCCTTTGACAGGGGTGGAAAAATAGACCTCTTACCTAGTAATATTTATTTTCAATAGGAGTGTTAAACGTGAACATGTTAGTTCATGAGAGCATGAACATTGTAGTTGAGATGACTTTTTTCCTGTGAAGCATATGATGCATATATGCTTCAAAATCAAACCAGTTATTCACAATACTTTTTCCTATGTGTATGCTACAAACGAAAACCAGTTAAGACTTTTTAATGAAGTAATAAAACAATTTCTATYTTTCTCCATGTTTTGTCTATAACTTGCAGAGAAAGAAACACTTGCAGAGCTGATTGAAACTCAGTCTTCTGCAGTTTTTGAAGCTTCACTGGAGCAATCAGAAAAACAAACATCTTTGACAAATACAGCTAATGAACTAATGTTGAGAAAATGAGTGTGAAAATAGGTCCCTAGTTGAGTGCTTCATAGAATAAGTGRGATTTTACTAACATAAAGACTAGGAGCTGCAGGAGAAGAAACAGTTTGATACTTTCTGGCACTAAATCTCATGATTAACCCAGCAAACCCAAAGATACTTGATCACCTGTGGTATCATTGCCCCTTCTGCCACTCAGCTTTGAAAAATTGTTGGAATGAAAAATGTTTTCTTGTGGTGTTACTCTTAACTTCAAAAGTGCAAAATGGAACACTATGAACAAATGAAAAAGTTAGATGTTTTTCCTGTAAAACATTGAACTACTTCATCCAGCTCTGGGCAAGTGAATAGCGTGGCCTGAGTATGAATAATACAGGATCTGGTAAGTCTTGATTCCAGGGGTTATCTCCATAGTGCTTATTTCTTATTTCTGTTTTTCAGGTCAGAGCAGCAATTGGACCTTGCCGTGTTGTGGGCTTGCTTGAGCAAACATGCCTTGTTCCTGAARAAGCACCGTGTTTTGCTCCCAGACGAAGTGGCAAAGATGTTTGATACCTTGCTGATTTCRGAAAAAAAAATACAAGGTGCTCAGGTTAGCACTTATTTAGCCATGTTTTGCTGGTTATGTCAGCTTTTCTTATGCGAGCCTGTGCTGCTGACACTGCTCTGAGAGGGCAGAAAATAAAAAAAAAAATAAAAAATAAAAAAAAAAAAAAGACCTTCTTAGTGCAAGGAACTGCTAGGCTTAACAGTCTGCAGTTCCTGTCGTATCCCTTGTACCGATTCCTTTGATCATTGGCTCTGTGTTCTCATTTCCTCTTTCCCTTTTCCACATTTTCAGTGATGRCAAAAATGCAGATATAAAAGTTGTCTAAGAGAAAGTTGGATGCTTACTAAATGTAAACCAGTGTAAAAATGGTGCTCAGGTAGGTCCCAAGAGACTTCCAGCTATAACAACCTTTCACAGAAAGAGCTGGTAGTCTGAGCTAAATGAGCCTTTAAAACCACTTACAGCTTTATAAAGTTGCAAGAACTCCTCGAAGTCTGTTTGGGAATATATTGCCTGCAGCAAGGTTCTAGAGCAGCAGCATTACAGTGTTCAGGGTCAAGCAAACATAGCAGGTGAGTAGCTGCAATGCGTTTGCTTCAGTCTCTGAAGGCTCCGTGGAGGCACCTATGCACATCGTGTGCTGTATGAGAGAGGTCAAGTGGTGAAATGTGGGATTTTGTTTGGTCCGACATCAAGACTTAACTTTTGAAATACGGCCTCGATTAGTCTTCAGTTGTATTTGAAAATGATGTCTTTCCCCTTAAGTCAAGATAGTAAATTCAGTCTCATTTGCACGCTTTACCAGAGTAGATGGGGGTGTTATGCTGATGTCTGCACTGTTGAGATTTAAACAAAAAATTAAATTAGAAGAACGGTTTTTGGCTTTATCTGCCAGAAAGATGGTGATTCATTGCAGGGGCCTTCTGCACCCAGATGGGGGACTAGGAAGTGTTTGAGTGCAGGTRGGGGGAACGAATGTCCTGAGTGAGGTGTTAGCTGCTGTGCGAGGCTCTCTGGAAAAAGGGATTTCTGGTACCTGTTTCTGGGCTCTTTTTAATTATTATGATTATTTAAAGTTTATCTAGACTTTTTGAAGATCTTAGTGTAAGAAACCAGTTTTGCTTGTTCCTATGTAGAGAAACAAGTGCGAAGAAAATACGAAAGCCATATTACTCCTTCATAGCTTCTACTTTTGGCAGTAGTTTGTATTTTTTATATACTGAACCTGTGTGTGTAAATATAGCCTTTGGCTCCATTTCTAGCTTCTGAATATCTCAAGAAATCTCACTTTTGAAGAGAGGCAAAATAGTTCTTCAGAACCATTCTGATGTAATGACAATTTAAATAAACTTGGTAGTCATTAAATGGTCTGGCCAGTCCTTCACACTTAAAGGCTCAATTTTTGCCAAGAAAATTCCTACAGTTTAGTAATTTCTTATTACGAAAGCACATCACATGTTTAGATCTTAGCAACAGTAAATGTTGAWTTTTTTAGCATGCTCAACAAATCCAGTTGGTGAATGTCAGCTTGTTTCCCTGCCTCTGGGGTATGGCTTTATCAACAAAGGAATCGTAAAGTGATATAATGATTGGTCAAACTTCCCCAGGCTCAACTGCTTTTACGTTTGCACAAAAAGAATTCATCAATTTACAACCAAGGGCCTTTTCTCTTTCCTTTTTTTTCCCCCCTCTTTCCAGAATGCTTTTTGCAGTGGCATTGTATCAAAAGCCTGATGGAATTCACAGAACCTACTTAACTCTTGCTGCAGCAGATAAATGCCTCCTGACAATATGGAGTACTCGGGCAAACATTACTGTTCTGGCTTATTACAGGCAGAATAAAACGAAGCAATCACCAAAACAAGTGTTTCTCAGGCTATTAATTAAATTGTTCACATGCTTTGCTTTTTTTTTGTCTTGCTATTTTTATTTTGGAAGAGAAGCATTAATTCTGCAGAAAAAAATAAAGTACTTAAGGACCAAGTGTGGCACTGAAGAAACAAGTAATAGAGAAGTGCATGACTAGAAATATTTTTTCATCCCTCAAGATCTTTCTCATTTAGTGTGCTCTCTGATCAGGGATACATAATCCAATGTGAATGTGTGTGTTTATATTATATTTTTCTTACAATTAAATTATATAAATCAATGATACCTAGAGACCAAAATACAATGTTAAAATTGGTCCTGGGCTATTACTAGTATCTGCTTTCATCTTGAGGACCAGTGGAAGTGGTTATCATTCTAATTACTTGAAGAATGATYAGTGAAAGTAGATAGGGAGAGTATAGTTTTTTTGCCACAAAATATACATGTGGTATACTGTATAGAAGTATTCATGTATACTATTTAGTGCACAAAGAAAATACCATCCTGARGACTGTAAAAGAGCTTATGTGTTTTCCACCCTTCAGACCATTCATATATTTAAATAGGTTCAAACATTTGCTGTGGTGCAAATTTATCACAAGACTTATATCATCTGTCTTTTGCTGTGACTTAATAGCTTTTTATAGTGAATGATCTATTTTTTCTTCTGAAAAATAGAATCATGTTTAATCAACTAAAGACGTAGCAGATTTTACAAATGGCATGCTTATTCTTCTAAAGGTTAATTTATAAAGGTTATAAACTAACTCTTTCTGAAAAAATATATTAAAAGGAAAAAAATAAACCATTTGGCAGTTTGATAGACCAGCTAGTGCCCTGACCTCTCTTGCTAYGAATCCAGAGCAAGCGGCTTTGTGCAATGGCTGGCGCGACCACGCGCTGAGTTGCGGCCTCCTTTCCTCCCTCCCGGCTTCCCAGTGCGGGCCGTTGCCTCTGGAGTCTGTCCGGTGTCTTGCGGAGGCTCCCACCAGGGCTCCCCGCTCCTGCYCAGTGGATGTTGAGCTGATTCCTCAGCTCGAGTTTTCGGCGCTGCGGGGCCTGTGCTTCTTGTTAAGGCAAGTCCGGGCCCGCTCAGCGCAGAACAATGCGGAGGCCGTAATTAAAGGTTTCCTTTTAGCTAGTGGTGCTAGAGCTCAAGTTTTATGTAGCCTTCTTGTCTGYGCATCACAAAGCGCTTTGCAAAAGGTGGTGTGATCCCCATTATCCTCACTGTATGCATTGCAGAACAGGAATTCAAATGACTTGTCTCTGGAATAAGCATCATAGTTGTGGGCTCCTGTGCAGAGCCGGGGGTTTCTGCGCTCTGTCTGGGCGCCCGGCTGCTCCCTAGGTGATGGATGGGCTGAGCCCTGGGAAAAGTAACTTGTCCCTAAGTTCTTCTCTGCCTCTGCATCGGGAATTAGTGAGTCTTTGAAGCAATCCACAATTAAAAAGATGGCCTGGCCCCTCTTGTGAAATCTCTTCTAGGTAATATTGCAGAGATTAAACAGGCTAAATTTTGCTGCAGTTTCTTTTCACTCTCTGTAGCTTAAATATATATGCTCACATATATATATTGTGTGCACACATGCACATGTATGTGAATAGAAAGCATACCAGTAGAGCAAACTTTTATTAAAAATTGAGGAAAAAACTTTTCAAATATAAAACAGCAATTGCACTTTTTTTTTTTTAGTTCTAATAATGTTTGTGATGTGATGAAAATACAATATTTTGGTGAGCTGTATAGTTTTGATTATTGCCAAGGTAATTTTTTGTTCCTGCATGTGGTCAAATAATTTGTATTCAGGTCTTAAAACACATGATCAAGGCACACATTCCTTGTTCGGATGTAGCTTCGTGCTGGTTATAGATAAATACAGTGCATAGAGTTATAATTGTATGTGAAACCTTTCACCAAGTTAATGAAAGCTCAATAGCATAAGTGCTTTATGAGTCAATAYATTCAGTAATAATCTGTTTATTGCTATGTATAATTGTGGCTCATGCATTAGACACTTGTTATCTGTTAAGCAGGATTCATTCACTTAAATGTATCCCGAGATGCATTATGTAGTTTGAAACCTCTTATTTTCAAGCRGGATGTGCTGGACAGTATAAAAGAGATAGCAGTATAAAAGAGATATTGTGCATGTACAGAGATGGTTGCTTTAACATAAGGATTTACATAATATGATGGTGAATATATATGCAACCTGTGTCTAAGGTTCTTAAATATTCAAGGTCTTGAAGCTTGGAGTGCAGGCCCGTGTTGATGACTTGTTTCTCTGAGGGTCCAAACCTGCCTGGTGCGGTGCTGCACCGCAGTATCACAGAGCCTTGTGCACTTGTGCAAGTGCAGCACATGGTGCAGAGCCCACCTCTCTGCTGGGCTTTGGCCTTATGAGTCACTCACCCTGACCCTATGGATCTGTGTAGCCCCATCAAGTTCCTGCAGCTCTCCTAGCACAGCCAGCTTGGTCCCAGCAGTGTCTGTGATCTTGGGAGTGTTTGGTGTCACTGCCAGGCCTGATTTCTTAGGATTTCTGATTTCTTACTGAAGGTCTTCAGGGGCATCTAGAGCTTTTTGCTCTGTGTTGTCACACTGCCTTTCCCTAGGTAGCCTTGCTCGTGCATCGTTGTTTTCCCTCTGCTACCAGCACAACCTGTCTCATCTACCTGCCTGTCCTGTCTTGGCCTCGTGCTGCTTCATTACCTCTCCCTTGTCCCCTTCACTTCTGTCCCACAGTCATCTTTGATTCTCTCAAGGACCTCTTCTATGGGTTATCCATTGCGAGGAAGAAAATGGTCCCTATCCTTAAGGATAGGGAACAGGAATAGGAGTTGGCTGCACATACCGCACTTCCATTGGCATCTTCTAGCAGTGAGCGTTATGGGCTTGAGTGTCCCTCAACTGAGTTGCCTCCTGCGAGTATAGGACCAGGGTGGCTCGTGCAGCTTGTTGGCCATCTTCACCCCGCAGTGCAGATGGGTTTGGTTTCTGTCACGCTGACCATTGAACCTTGACTCTCCTGACATGCTTTCCGCAAAGAAGGTTCTTGCCAAGAGGCTCTTCGATCCAGATTGATTATGGTATTAAAGCTGTCACTGCTTATTGACAGAGATTCATGTCTAGTTACGTGTTAAATGATGCTACAGACAGGTGAATGATTGAGTTCTGGTATGGGAAACTTTGCATAGAGTTCACTTGCTAAATGGGAATGAACTTCCATGGAGCTGAACTGTTAAGTGAGAATTAATTTCTTCAATAAGAAAGATTTCCCAACCCTACCTGTAATTTAAGACCTATTTTTCATTAAAAAGGACACTTTAAATGGACATTTTTGGATGAAACAGCTTGTTCTTGTTTTTATGATATCCCATACCTAAGATAAACTTGGAGAGGAGGTAAAAAAAAAAAAGGGGGGGGGGGGGATGGGGGTGGAACCCAATGAAAATGATTTCCCTGGGACTCAAAGGCTGCCATTCTGGGCTGCTGCATAAATATGGGATTGACAGGTTGCTGGGAGAAGTGCAAGAATAATATTTTCCCATCTGAAATGTTTTTATTTGAAGACATTCTCCTCTCCTGAGTAGATAGAAATAATGTCACAAAAACTGGGATTATTTCTGAGGTGCTAGTCTGCCTCTATGAAAGGGACTTACTTGTTGAACAAGTACTGAATTAGATACTAAGGTAATTCACCAGATAACAAATGCAGTAGATAATAGAACACATAATTAGATAAACAGAGCATATAAATTCAGTTAAATTTTAAAGAATCAAGTACATATTTTTATTACAAAATAATACTATACAAGTTAAAAAGATACAGGAAAGATGAAAAAAAAAACCCCACTTTCCTGATGGAATAATAAACACCAGAAAAAGCTTTCTACTGTTCTCAAAAATAAGCTTTTTGAGGTAGCAAGTGGCATTTTCAACACACGTAGATGATAACCTTAGAAGTGCTTGCTTGCTTGATATTAAGCTTGCTTTTAACTCAACCATATTTATGCCGTGCTCAGCTCCCTAAAAAGTATTGGCTTTATTTATTTATTTATTTATTTTTACTTAAAAATATGTTTAACTATAGAGGTCTGAAGAGTGCTGCTGCTGGCATCAGTATGCATAGACAGGAGAGGATAAACTTTATGAATGTGCAGTAATAATACAGATTAAAGTCTGAATTGACTCTAACAGGAGCTAGCTTTGGCAAGCTTCAGATCATGCTCTTTGACTTCACGTGTGTTGACCCTGGTATTGTTTTAAATCCAAACTATTGCAAACAGTGTGATTATCTTGCCTTATGCCTGTGTGCCTGAAATGCAGAGGAGAAAGAGATATTTTGGTCTGTTCCTGTTGCAGCACTTACTTTGTCTACTGTGAATGTCTGAGGCACGGAATATGGAGGATTTCTGGAAAATATAGCGATTAAAGCAATTAAAGTTTGGGTAACTCCAAGGCACAGTGTAATTCCTAAGCCAGCACTGATTTAACTCATGTGCAATTTAACATGCAACAAAAACACCCTGGAAACAGATTACACTCTGAAGTATAGCTTAGCYTTAATATATGCTCGAAAATGTTGCTGCTTGAGACTTGGGATAATAAAGCTGCTGGTTTTATTTTATTTTTTTTTTCCTAATGCTGTAGGCGCTACTGTTATCAAGAGAGGCCCTTCCGGAAGAGTGTGAAGACAGGTCATCTGTTCAGAGCATGGAATCATCTTACAGCTTGCCCTCAATTCTGCAAGACCACGGTGAAGCAGAGCCAGCAGAACACGCTCCGCACAGGCCCGATGGCCTTGGTGCAAGGAAACAAGGTGGGAACCGCTGAGATATAAATGTGTCCCTGTCAACGCCAATAGGAAGCTGTGCTTATAGCTACTGTTAAATTAATATATACATGTTTTAATGTGGTTTTGGGTGATGCACTTAAGTATCTCTGCATTTCTCGATCTTTTAACTCTGTTAAAATGGTGGCTCTTCTTCACCAGAAAAAGCAAATATTGGGGTGATTACTAAAGGTGGAGCTGTGCACGTACATGTATTCCTAAAAGCATCCACTATTTAGAAAATGCTGCATCATATGATAAATCTTTTTATAAAGACAGAGTGCAGAATAAAGTTTGAAAAACAGAATGGGTTTTATACAAAGGAAGATGGGATTTTTGCTTTCTGTAAGTTAAAAAGGGAATGTTTGCAAATGCAGCTAATTCCTTTCAAGGAGGAAGTTGCCGATGAGTCTATGTKAATAACTGGGTGAGGGTACCTTTCTCAGGGTGCTCTTGATGCATTCCACACATCAAAGACTGCAGGAGACAGGCAATTAGGTTGCAATGCCCTTTACCCAGTGCATGTAAACAAACTGATTTAGGCCTCCTAAATTCCTGCCACTTTTATCTACGGAGGAGACGGAGACTTTGATTTAAACTAATTTTCTGGGGTTGGTATGATATATGCTATTGCTGTCAGGCTCCTGGACAAGATTCCAGAGTTACTGTTGGTTGTTTCTTAAATCCCATTGGGTCTTAAATAATTTAAGACATTTGGGTAGCTTATCCTTTTCTCTAGAAGCTACAGAGAGATACAGTAGCATCATCTATGAGTAAAGTTCACAGTAGGCTCCTCTTCTAAGAACAGTAATGGATAGTTTAGATCAATAAACAAGAGATAAAAAAAAAAAGTGAAAAATTAAAGGGAGTAGAGCTTAAAAGAAAACAAACCAGTCTGATCGTTGTGACTTTGAAATGTGTTTCATTATTGTGTGTTCACATACAGAAGTCACAAGCTGGTGTGAAGATGAGAGCAAGGAAGAAAGGGTGGCAGAAGCAATTCCTATTACAGGTAAAAGTAATGGCTGCATATTAACCTCAAATACAGCATTCAACTTTATTATATAATAAAAACATTGCATTTTAGGGGTTTGGATCCACTAATAGTGAGTAAATTCAGCTATTACACACTGAGCACAAAGATTAAACACAAGATCATAAAGCACACGCTTATGTTAACATAAACCGGGTTGGAAAATAACAGTGCCTATTTAATTCCTTGTAATCATGTTATACATTTAAACCATGTGAATATCCTGTCATTTAGCCTTTCAGGTCTTAGTAGCGGTGTTACAAAGGTCAGTCTCCATGGGGAAGATCCAGTAATTATACGGCAAACTACAGATGTTTCTGATTTGATTCTTTTCTTTTCTGTCATAATTGAATGTGTATCATTAGAATAAGCACAAGAAAAAAAAAATATGTGAGCCAGGAAGCTGTGCTTTTGCCTCTGCTACAAAAGCAGTCTGATAATACAGCATTTTTAGCAATAAGGCTTTATCAAGACTTGTTAAGATCTTCCTGTAGCAGATGCATTGTGCTTGTTTAGAGTCCTGAAATATTGCTGCTTTTTGGTCCTAAAGTATCAATAACACATTAGTATTCAGGACGGAACTCTTAGCAAGAAGTCTCAATTTGCTATTGCTTTATTTTGTAAAGTGGTGGGCTGCTTCATTATAAATTTTATGTTAGGCTAAATGTTTATGCAGGTGTATAGTCTGGCAAAGAAAAGGTACTAGGGCATCTGTGTAACATTTGCTGTTTGTTTTCTGCCTTTTTATGGCTTAAAAATAACATGTCTTTCCCAGTGTCGTGCTTCTGCAGAGGCTACTCTGCTTTTTGAGCCTGGTTTGCAGCTGAAATATAAATATGTGCTGCTTGTATTTCTGAATTTCACTACAACCGTAATATTCCTATTAGTCCAAACTTAAGGTTTGAGATTTTTAGACTTTCTAATTTTATCTTTTAGGTGTCTTTCAGTTAAMCCCYYYTTTTTTTTTTTTTTTTAAAGGTGGATTGCAATGACTTTAAGATCAATTAATTGCACAAACCACAAGCCATTTAAATCTTTTAAATTAGACAAAACATACTTGTTTGGAAAATTAATCAAAATATTTATGGAACTTAATTGCTTTGCTAGTTGGTAGTTCAAGATAATTCAAACGTAGCAATTGCAGTTCAAGTTCTATAAACTGAAGGCAGTAACAGATGGGTCTCTTAAATGTTAAGAAGTGCTGGTTTTCAGCTAGCTATTCAAGTGACATTGCTGTTCAAGTGGATGGGATTTGGGGCTTCCCACTCGCCTCCTGTGACAGCACGACCCGCTTGCACTGCTTTTGCTAGGAGAACATACCATTTTGTGCAGGCTTGCCAGGGAAACACAATATTTTGCACAGACTTGCCCGGGAACTCTGCTGCCTTTTCTTCCTGCTGGACCCTGTGTTGGGTGTGTGATGGGTCCTGGTAGAGGAAGAGCTGGGGTTCAAGTGGTAGGATACAGGCTCAGCCACCATCAGTGTCTCCTTTATTTCCAGCATCCCTTAAACCCTGAATGGCAACACGGAACAATGCTTCCTGTTTTGTGAAAATRCTGATAAACTCTGCTAGCTTTAATACTGGAGAAAGTACTAGGTYGGGGGGGGAAGACTTAAAACAGGTTCTTTCTGAATTCTGCTCTATTTACTACTGTTGCAGYATGTTTTCAGGAGCTAGCATGTTCCTCATCTCCAAGAGCGAGACTTCTCACATCTTCCTTGACAGCTAAGTTACTCCTTTCAGATGCTGTTCATGTTCAATCCATGATCTGCTCCAGGCAGCCTCTTCTCTTCTGGCTTCCCTGCCTTCYCTCTGGTCACTGCTTTTCTTTTTGCTCATGATGGAGCCATAGACCTCAGCCCTGCAACCCAGCTGGAATTGTTCAGTGCCTAAGATAGAGGCAGTGTTTGGGTGTTGCATTTTGGGCTCAAATGCTTTGTTTGAGTCTTGCTGTGTCTTATGATTTGTTTTTGTCTGTTTTATACATGACTGTTTTCCTATCCATTTTTGCTAAGATTAATGGATACATTTTTTTCAGTAATCAGTGAATTCTCAGAGGGATTTTTTGGAATAAAGCTTTGGTTTTGAAGCATTGGAATCCCTGAGCTTGTAGGTTTTGGATGGTCTCTCCTTTGGGAGTTGGGAGGATGTGCTTCAGCATGCTCCTTTAGATCAGTGATGAAACTTTACAAATGCTTCTGTAGTTTTGGTTTATTTTCTTTGTGTTTCCATTACAGGAAAAAAGATATTTCTGGTATCTTCAGTATGTTGTAAGTGTTCTAGAGATATTTGTATTTCTTGTAGAGAGGGACAGAGAATTTTTTTTTACCGTGTCCRTGTTTCCAGAGCTGTGGACAGAGCTGTGTTTGCTGCTTTGGAGTGATAGCTGGTGTTGGATGTCACTGAGCCATGAGGTAGGAGACAGTGTTCCTGCAGCCCTTGTTCCTGCCTGTCAGTGGACTGCTAGGTAGGATTGGGAAGCCTCTGTAAGCAAAAGCACCGTGACCTTCTGTCTTTGACTCTGGAATACTGGACTTGGAGAAGATTTTGTATTTCTTGATTGTTCTTACCACTAACCTGAACAGTAGTCTCCCCACCACGACCATAGAGAGGGACATACTCAACTTTATGTGTGGTGTATGTGTGTATTTTTTATCCAAAGAACGTGGCCAGAGCAACAGTAGTAACAGCCATGCTACTACTGGGATGTAGATGCTGGGATTTGTGGTGTGTTACTCTGCTGTAGTTGCTGTTACTGAAGAGGCCCTTGACCTGTCCTGGTATTTGATACGAGTATCGTTTCATCTGCATTTTATTCCCAAGAGCTACTTCCCTTTTCTTCAAGCAACCTGGAAGGTAGCAAAAAARTCTGCAGAAACCCAGTAAAACTTCTGTCTCTTTAGGGAAACTAGAAGTTGCTTGTAAAGTCTTGGATTGTTTATTAAYGCAAGTGCACCTCCTCTTTCCCAAAGGACAGGGAATACCCATTCTGYAAGGCTTACACCATGCTGCAAGTGAGATGGAAGTGATGGCACTCCTTTAGCAAAGCAAAGGCAGTCAGTCCCTCCTTCTGAAGCCATAGGCCAAATCCTTCCTTATTTCTAAAGCTGTAAGGTCTCGTTACACCGTTGTTACTCTTCCAAAGCTACCCTTTCAGAAGAAGACTTAAAACTTTGTACGGTGATGGCCCCAGCCATGCCAAGCTTGGTCCCTGGTTTTTCTTGTGGGGAATCTCTTGCCACCTTCTTATCCAAACTCCAAGTTGGAGCCTAACCCTTCTGGTGTGTGGCAGGGGCTCTACCTTTGGCRTTGGCTGCAATGTGAGCTATGGTCTTTGCCATCCGTGGCTGTGGTGAGTATGAGTTTTCCAAGGCTCCCCACATGGGGGTGGAAGGAAGCCCGCAGCATGAAGGTGATTCCTGCTGAGCCTTGTCCTCAGCTTATAGAAGGGCAGATTGTATGAACTGACCTCAGACAACTTATATTTTGTGTACAGGACCACTTTTTGGTGAAGCAAGAATATTGGAGAAGAGATTTTATTAACAGTCTCATAGCAGATTTTAATAACAGTTTCATAGCAGGGATAGGTAGGGGTAGGAGAGAATATTTTGACTATTGTATTTCTGGATACTTTTATCTTGGGCTGACATTTAAAAGAATGACTTTTTGTGCTGTTCATAACGTAACTGAGTAATATGACATAAAAATGATCAGATCTGTTATATTTGTTTTTGCTGAGCGATTCCTTCATTTTGCTGGATTTTTGCAGTGTCTTTAGAAGGAAACTGATGGCTTTACTGAAAGAGCAGATTTGTTRAAGATTAAATAAAATGGCGTTTCTCCTTACCCTTTATTTATGTCTGTCGTAAATGTCTTTGCCTTAAATAGTTATTAAAGCATTTTAATAATGGCATCCTTCTCTACTCATCAAGCTTCACTTTTGCAGCATCCAGAGCACCATATTCCATCCACTTGCTAGGTATAAAATCTCTAATGTAGAAATAAGCAGGGGAAAAAAATCTGGARAAAAATTCTTTATATATCATAAAGAAACATGAAAGGGCACAAATCCAATTCTCTTTTCCTTTTTAGGTCACCTCTAATGAGCCAATAATCCCGGCAACACTTTTCGCATGCCCACACATCCTTCTTGGCCAGGTCCTTCTTTGAACTTGAAGTTAAAAGGTTCTTGAGGTTCCACTTGGAGTGGACTAATAAAGGCATTAATAAGTCTTTCCAACTTTCTACCTCATTTGATATCAGTCCATTAGAAACCACTGTTAGGAAATAGTTCATCTGTAAATGACCGATGGCTGTTGTGATCTGACAGAACTGCCACGGGGAAGTTTAATAGAGCCTAGGTTGCATACCCAGGAGGTGATACTCTGTTGCTCCACTTAAATTTGGGAAAGACGTCAGTATTTCACAGTTACGACTCGTGGCTGAGGAATCTTATCCAATCTGCTGAGAAATCTTATCCAATCTTTAAATTGAGGCAGCAGCTTTTGAAAGTATTGTCACTAGAAAGGTTCTCACTAGGTTGCTTTCAAATACTACTGCATTGGGATTTCCCCAGTTGGCTGATGATCAAACCATTTCTACCCTTGAGAGGATAGCATTGCACGTTGATCCCGTGCAAGTATTTTATCTTTGCCCTCTGCCCCCTTTGCAAAGCGGGTATTTGGATACTGACCAACTTATTTCTTCTTTGCTAGTTTGTCCTTCCTGYTCCAGGAGGCTGCTCAGGATCCACAGCTCCAGTGGTGGGAAATGTCTTCTGGTTTTCAGTCTGTTTTTTTCCTATACCTTTGTGTGTCAGCGTTGTCTTTATCAGCATTGTCCTTCAGTATAGTTCTTTCTCTTTCTGACGTTTAGCTATGTAYGGAGTTAAGCAGAACAGTTCTGCTATTTTGAAAATAGAGTTAAGGCAAAAGTGTTTTGCTCAAGTTAAATTTTGTTCAATATTAAATGTACCACAGATGTTTTCTTTGAAGTGCTCTAGTCTCCTGCAGCAGCAATTTTAACATTAACTTCTGGTTATCCAGTCTGTATTTTAAAAATTGTCAACTTTTACAATATTGGTACCTTTTTCCATTGGCAGGCACGTTGTTGAATCAATACATGGAGAATGTTTGTAGAAGCACTATTGGGTGTCTAGCTATTCTTGTTCTTGTTCTTGTAAGGACCAGGGGTGTCTGCTGTCATGTTGCTGGGATTAGGATCAGACTTTTCACACATTTCTCATGCCTTTCTCCTCAGAATTCATGATCGATATATCACTAGAGTCCTGCCATTCATTTTTAAAAAAAAGATGTTAAAATGAACTTCACTTCTCACCTCTAGTTCATTTTACCTCCTAACTAGTGCCCAAAAGGGAACCATTCAGCAGTGAGCTTAGCTGAAATCCAGGGGACCTTGCTGATATTCTTGGCTTTGRTGTTAGAGGCGGCTCTAACAAAGCCTTAGAAGATAAATTACACTGTCAGCAGAGAAAACTCAAAGCAGCAGGAGCTTCCCGAGCTCGGCTTGGAAGGGAGAGGTGCTTAGAGGGAACTCGGACTCGTCTAAGGAGGTGGGAGACAGAAGCCAGGCTGCTGGTCCTCAGCAGAGCTGCCACAGGCCGAATCCTGCTCTGTCCCCTGGCAGTTGCTTTTGAGCATGACCATTTTGTGCTCGAGTCATGTGCACAGGGCTCAAGCTCAGTGTAACCTGGTGTTTCAGTTTGCACGTTGTCATGCTCTGAAACAGTCATCTTTTCACCTCTTCCCTGCTTACTGTCTTATGCTAAACTCTTTCTGTTTTGTACTCCTGCTAAAACATTTCGGAACAGTATGTTTTACTCTCCCAAGACCAGCTAAGTAGGTGGGCACCCCACTGTCTGAGCACAACAAGAGTTGACCAGGCAGTTCTGTGGAACAATGCATTTCTTGCAGCAATGATGAATGCTGTACTTGAGAATTTTCTTCTCCTGCTATATTATTGCATCTTCTAATTTCTGCCCTGGATGTTGTGCTGATTGCTCATGGTTTGCAGCAGTGGGATATATTCCAGCACAGCAAAATCAGGTTATTTTTGTTGTAAGTAGTATATGGATGTACTTAAGACTCTTCTTGTCCCCTAACTGGTAGTGGGCGCACATTCTTAAAGGCATGTGGGGCAGAAGGAGGTTAAAGCAAGGCGACTGTTGAGCGTACAAAGCAGCAAGTCGCTGCACGGAGGGCACTTACCCACTCCCAAATGTTTCCTAGGCATCAGAGCCCAGAGGAGTTGTCAAGGGAGGCTTTAAAGCAGGGTAAATTGGTCAGTTTAAGCTTTCTTAGAGGGATCTCCCATTTGTGGAGGGCATGTAGCATGTAAGGAAGGACAAAAATGCTTGAGGGAAGTGATTGGACTAAATGGTCAGAGCATTGGGTATGACTAAGGCAGAAGTGGGGATTGATGGCCCAGTATTGTGTTATAATTGACAGGTAGGGCAAAGCTGGGCTATGAAGGGTCTGAAAGGGGAAGAACAAGTAGTTTCTGTTAGATGGGAGGCAGAGGACCCAGCAAGGGCACAAAAAAACGAGTGGATGGTCTTTTGCAGCTGCCTCGTGTGCAGAAGCAGCAGGAAAAGCTTTGAGCAGAGAGTGGCCTGGCTAGGGGGACAGACGTGCTGGCAGCAAAGGGGCTCCCYGCAGTGAAGGGCCCGCTTGAAAGGTGCAGCTGGTCCGTTTGGAGCCACGGTGGCCTCCACACGCCACCCCGAGCGGCAGGAAGGTGGCCCTGCCATAGTCAGTGATAGAGGAAAAAGTCTGGAAGGGCGTTAGCAGGAAAGGCTGGACCAGGAAAGGAATAAGGATTCATTTTTGACCCTGCGGAGTTCGCATCAAGAAGATAGGTGAGGAGGAAGAGCAAGTAGGAGGAAAATACATACAAGGGGAGCATTTGAGCATCCTGTGCACCCAAGACTTGCTTGCTTGAGTTTATAGATGTGCTTCAGTTGCAAAATCATAATAAAATGAGCTACAGGTGGATGTTCTGGTGGGCTTTCTYGTGCCAGAGGAAGAAATAAGCCAAGGGCTCATGCAGTGAGACTTAGAGGACCCAAGGCAGCTGCTCCAGGCTCTCTCCTTCCTTTAGGAGGAGGAGGAAAAGGCAAGGGGTTGATAAAGCACAGAGGTGTTTTATCCTCTGGAGAGAAACAGATCTTACAGATAGGCTACATATCTGCTYTCTGCACAGCATTAAAAGCGCTTTCAAACGTACCTCCGTGTTCATCTTCCTTTTGGGGAGAACTAAGGCAGCCTTAGYGAGATCTTATCCACAGCAAGCTCGGCGCAGGCTCCCTACTCAGGGTGCTGTTCCCGGCTTTGCCTGAAACAAGGTCTTTGAAAAGCACCCATCACCAGAACCGGCTGCCTAACAGGGCTCTAACACCTTCTGAAATGGTGATTTAGGTTTTTTCCTCTCTCTCTGTAAACTTCCTTCCCTGGAAAGGAGAGAACTTTTCGGTGTGTGAGCAGAGCGTAACAAGCAGCCGTGGCCCAGYGCGTGTGCAGGCCTGACGGGGTGACCTCCCGCAGGTGCCGTTTGCTCCCCATCCTCTTTTGGGTTATATAAAAATATACATTTTTACGGTTGCGGGATTCCCCACCACCCCCACATGCSTGTATCATCCAGTGTGCAGGTACGAGCTGCTTTCAGTCTCACATCCAGGAGGGGAGGTCTCCGTTTCTCTGCACGTGCTTCTCCCAGCAAAGTTTTTCGCTGTTTTTTGGGGSGCCTTTTGTCACCCTTGGAAGGGTGCTCAGACCGTTCCACAAAGTGGAACCCGCCACCCCGGGAGAACCTGTGGGTTTAGCTCCTYTGCATAAGAACTTTTGGAACTGGTTTTTGGAAGTTGTGCTTGTTCTGGCAACCCACCAAGCAGCACTTGGGATGTGAGATGTGAGAACAGGAGTGTATCTGCAGACACTGATGCATGAAGTGCACGCTGAATTATAAAGTAGAAGCACCCAAGGTGTATAAAAATACTGAATTGTCTGGGGTTAGAATCAAGTTGGTAGAAATTAGGGCTTGCTCATAACTTCAGTCATATCCAGAGCTTTTCTTATGTCCTGATCCTAATCTGCAGTGCAAACTGGCCTTTGAATTGGTACATTTGTACTTGAAAAACACATTTTTATTGGAAATGAGTAAAAGGTGGCTAGCTACAAACATTTTACAAGTCTATTGTTGTTTTTTTTGTTTGTTTGTTTTTTAATCAATCTCTACAGAAGTGAGATGCACAGAAGGCAGGGGAAGAGTGAAGTCCAGATAAAATTGAACTATTTGGATGTTTGGCTGTTAAGTTGTAAAAACACTAATACGTGTGTTACTAATGCAGCTTAATCTGGAAGGGAATGGTTGAAAATGATATTGATGTGTCAAAAAGTATTGAAGAATAAATGTCTGAAAATAAGCTAAATGTAAAGGGAAGGAGAACATCGTGTTTTCCCATAAAAAGAAAATGAGAATGAGGGGACTAAAAAAGAAACAAAAACCATTCAAGTTTTAGTGAAAATTGATATATGATGTAATGCAACTCTTGGCAGAACCTCAGTGTTTGATCTTTTTGCTAATGAGGTAAAACATAATTTTTTACTATCCAGAAAACATCAGGTTACACTAACTGATTTCAAGGAGGCCTCATATGCTGCATTTTTTAACTCCTTTTCACCTAATTATACACAAAAATCTCGAGGCATGTACTGTAGCTGCCTGGTGTTTGTTCCTAGACTTTGTCATTTGAGCCAAAAAGGAGGATTTCTCTTGTCTATCTGATCCTGCCAAAATCTGCTCCCTTCTGGGAAGAAAGCCTGGCCAACCAATATATGCCCGGTGGCCTTTTTCTTTTTTTTTTTCTTTTTTTAATACCCCTAGGTACTTCTAAGAAGAAAATTCAGTTTAAAAAGAAAGAACAAAACACTGTGCTTTCCTAAAATCATCTTTTGCACTGAGTGTTCTTGACAGCATATTTCTTATATTTTGCAGTCGCTAAAGGACTCTCCAAATAACCACAGATGCTTTGTAATGTGTTTCCCTCTGCTTTTGCAGGGTAGGAGATGTCCGTTTGTTTATCTTTGCCTAAGTATTTCCGCTGGCTTCTGTAAGGCCAGATCTATAAAATGACTTTGTGTTCAATATTTGCGTTTTTACACATTTTCACATTTTGATTGAAAGGTGCCAAGACCTTGGAAACAAAGAAAAAGTCAGACGTGAACGCCGAAGCCAGTTCCTCATCTAACGAAGGAAGAAGTCCTTTCCCAAGGTAAGTCTGTAAAAAATAAAATAATTAACATTTGAATTGCTCCCCAAGCCAAACGGTCCCCMAAAAGTGCCTGCGACGTGCTGGCTGAGGTAGGCGGATAGGGTTAAGGCTCCTGTTGGTGTTGGTCTAAGGGAGCTCCYGGGATGTCCGTGCACCTCGGCTGTGCTGGCGGTGCAGCCCCCGCGTCCTGCCCCCCCAGTGTCCTGCTCCCCGTGTCCCGCAGCTGCCGAGGCCTCGTGGGCAGCCCCCCTTGGCAGGGCAGTGACCCACACACGGGCACGTCCAGCTGCTCCCAGTGGGGCGGCCGCACAAAGGCGGCTGTGGCCACGGGCAGGCGCAGAGCCCGGGGCTGCAGGGAGTGCAGCGATTCCGTCTCGCTGCGGCCGGCACGGAGGCGAGCCCTGACTGCAGACACCTCCTGCGTGTTTGCGCTAAGACATTCAAGGTGGTTTATTCAAACTGAGGGGTATTTAACAGCCTGACATTTCYCTAGCAGGGGCTGTTTGGCCTTTGAAACAACCAACCTCCTTTTTTTTAAGCTGCAGAATTTCCTTTTGGGACTCTGGTCCTCGTGTTTCTCATCAGCGTGTAGCAGCCATCAAACGGCAGTCGCGTTAGCGGTCAAGAAGCAGTGGAAAATAGGTTGTAACGGAGTCATCTCAGGAAATATTAGCCTGACTTTAGATTGATATCTGCGTGCGTATTAGAGCATCGCAGTAAGTGGGCTCTGCTGCTCTGTCTCTGCTTGCTCCGAAAGCTGTTGTTAATGACATGCAGGAAAATAAAATGTTTGGACAAAAATTTAATTCCACCTGCTTATAGGGCACCAATATCTTTCTGGAGCTTGATATTTCTGTTGACAAAGCTAGCTTTGATGCATTGGACAAGTCCAGTTTTATAAAGAGCTATATYGGAATGATTTCATTCTGTATCTTGTCTTAATCAAATATCTCTTGCTCACTTGAGTGCAGCGCATAAAAACAAGCCCAAAATGTTGCATGGCAGTGATTTGCACTTAAATTTTCTCAAATTTCATTTCGGAGAACATGTGCACAATTGTTCATGTTAACAAATGCAGGAGTGCTCTTTTAGATGATTTTTCAAGTGCATTTTAGTCTGTTCCTGTTGTCCTGGACTGCGCTGAGAGACGGATCGGGCCCTTAGTAGTGTTTCTATAAGTGATTCTTGAGTGTCTGATTGAAACATATATAATTAAACATGGAATATTTCCAAAAGTTTAAAAAAAAAAAACCAGCATGAATTTTATTGCTTGGATGTTATATGACTTGCTAGCGATGTTGGGCAGCTTAGGTGGTGCTCACATGCTGTTTTTACGACRTGCTTTTTGAGATTTCACTTTCTTTTCCAATTCATATTCTCGCTGGCTTTTAAAATCACTCTTTCTGCCATGTAATTTTATGCCTCGCAGCTCTGGGAATCAAGCGCGCTTCCTGCTCTGACGCCTGGGAAGGCTCCTCATGCAGCTTCCACTTATTTTCCTAAATGAATCAAAAATAATGCAGCCTCTTTAAAAAAAGGRAAAAAAAAAGTTTATTAATAACTCCTGCTTTGGGGTATTTTGCATCAGCTTTGCAAAGAAATAAAGTAGCAGGAAAGATTGAGCACTGGAAAACTCAGGCGGCTGCTTATTTGTGATCAGGACACAGGGAAATTTCTTAGACGCTCCCGCATAAGGGTGCCACTTAGTGCAGTCACTTCTTGTGCTTTATTGCTTTTACAAGTGGTCTCGAAACCCACTACTTGAGAATAAACATAACCGTGTAGTACTGCTGTGGTACTTTTTATAAATTCTTCTTTGCTCTGTTTTGTCACCGAGCTGATGAGTGACCTCGAAAAAGACCCTGCTGGACCTAAATAAGGGAAAAAAAAATGGCTTCCTCTGATGTCCTAGAGACAATAATTATGATGTGCCAGTTAAGCCCAAACTACAGCTGAGGGATTTTACTTTAAAGCAGAGGCTTGGGCGCAAAAATGCATTTATAGCTCTTTGTCCGGCACCTCATTATGTGTGGGCCTGATTCATTAAGTAATTGGTTTGCAGTTGTTTACATGAGTATTAAGGCTTTCTATTCAGCAGCCTTTGAGAGATACATTGTGCAAATGTTGCATGTTATGAATGCAGAATGAGGGGCAGGGGACCAGCGCTATTGGCTAAACACTGCACTCTGTTGAAAAGCAAGAGAAAGAGATTGGGTGCTGCTTTGCATAGCAATGACTTTCTTAATAAGCTTTACAGATTAATACACACAAGCTATAAAAGATGCAAAGAGATACTCTTAGCACATTTATACATGCTCATTTCACTATTATGGCACTGGAGATGGGAAGAATTGAGTTCTTTCATATTCGGTTTTTCAGTGCATGTCTTCAGTGCATGAGACTTAATAGAATCCGATGTTTATTGTATTATAAATCACGGGGAAGTAGGCAGATCTGCAACAGTTTATTATTAAAGATTCTTTCAATGTAAATCTTTTTCTGCCATTGTATTTCCTACAGCAAAATCATTTTGTGGTTGAGTGGGGATGAAAGGCATAATGTACGAAGGAGTGAGCCTTAATAGGAAGCTGCTCTCCGAGTAAAGACCACTTGTTCCCTTTTGTTCAGAGGTGCATGCCAGAGCTTCCTCCTCGCCAGCAAACACGGGCCCGCTCTACCTTGCAAATAAAACCACTTTTGCCTCGTTTTGCTCTGCTGAGAGCACGTTTAAACACCCCGAGATGCAATTTTAGTTTGAAGCATAAACACGTTGCGGAGGACGAGAGCGAGTGGAGTTGAGACGGCGCCGTGTGTGGCATCCCTGGGGCTGCAGCGGCAGCCGCCGCCAGAGGAGGTCACCAGCTTTCTGGATAACCCTCTACTTGTGATGCAAGCAGTTGATTTATATCTTTTTTCTTTGACTTGTTTGCTCTGTCTCGTTTCGAAATAATCTGAAGATTAAAGATGTAGAATAGGCTGAGAGCCACATGGAAAATTTGTGAGGACATAAGCRTCATTCTGGAAGTAGGATACTTTTTAGGCACGGATTAATCAAAGTTGAATCCGTTCTGCTCTCTGAAGGCTGTTTTTTTGTTGTTGTTGTTTTTTTGTGTTTTTTTTTTTTTTGTCAAAAGCTGCCTTTAACGAACACAGATATAACAATGTGTAAGTAAAAGTTGGCAGATTATAATTCAGCCCCTTAATTATTCTCCAAGGGAACTGTCAATAGTAATCCAGCTGCACCTAACATGGCCCTGTGGTGGCTGTGTCATGATGTAAAGAAGCAACTAAACCATCAGGGGGCACTCGGAYTTTGCTGAACTAAAAGCTCTCGAATTTATCCTTGTAGCTTCCACCTTGTAACATTCAGTGCCATTCTTTTAAATGTCTTGGCTGTTTACTTGACTTGCGAGAAGTGCCTGTTTTGTTTGGCGCTTTCGTAGGAGATGCTAAATGCTGGYGTGTGTGGACAGTCAGGCTGTGAATTTTTTAGGAACTTTAGGGAAACGAATGGGAGCACCGAACACAACAGGAATTGGGCACGCTGGCTTTGCACGGCAGATAGTCCTGATCCCTAAGGGATGCGCATGGACGGGTCCTAGCTGGTGGTTTGGCACTTGTGCAGCACTTATATCTGATCACAACTTCCATATAATAGGAAATAGAGGCTTCATTTTCTTTTTGCAGCTGTTCCCTGTACTCTTCATACCTAGTTTAGTATCGAGGCCGGTGGTACAGCAGGATTTGCTGTCTGCTGGCTTCTCTAGTCAAGAATATTTTATTTCCAGGCATTTTTCTTTTTAAAATGGTCTTAAACATAACTTTATGTTACAGATCTTAGGATCGCTTTATTTTAGGATACAATTGGCAGCATAATGGGAAACACCCTGGCTTGGGCTTGGCCTGCACTAGGCGAGAGCTCAACAGGTCCTTTAGCAGAGGGACCCGTGCTGAAGTCAGCGCCTTGTTTTGTCCTRAGCCACTGCTCCCCACTTGGCTCTTTTGTCTCGTGTTTATGTCTTGATACGGATTTTCTTTATGGAGGGAATATTTCCAGGGAGCTTCTTCATTTCTTATTGCTGCTGTATCTTCAGCACAAAAAGCCCGTTTCATCAGGAAAGGAGAGATTAAAAGGTCCTTTTAAGTTAAACTGGGTTGGATTTCTCCTTTGTTAGAGCCCGGGTTCAGTTTGTAATTCTTTGGGGAAAGAAGGCAAAAATGTGTACATGGATATGGAAGGGTCAATAAGGGGGATTAGTCGAGGCAGTTAAACTCGGGTTGCTTCATCTGCACTCCTGAAACACCTCGGGGGCTGTTTGTGCCCAGCACAGCACACAGTGGCTGCTCTCACTGCCTTGGCTCTCACTGGCTTTGCTGTCCATGGATCTTCAGCAGTGTGGAGGGGTTTCTGCATTCCCTCAGCCCAGGCCACCGCTCCATATGGAGCTCCAATTGGTTTCTCTGTCACAAAGACACTTTGCCGTGTTTCCAGGCTCACCTTGGGGGAGTTGTTTGTCCCAACCGATTCCCCAGTTCCCTTTTTTCCCCCCTCCCCAGCGTTCCCCAAGGATTTCCCTATGTAGCCAAGCTTTCTGGCCAGGCCTCTTYTGATGCCCTTTGCAGTGTCCCTTAACGGCTGGTGGCCGTGGGGTCACCTCAGCACTCATGGCCTGGTTTGCAGCTACAGCTCCGCACTGCTTGGCTGATAAGTTCAGCTCCCATGGGGCAGAATAGCCCCGGGAGCAGGAGCCCAGCAAATGGATGTTATCGGGGGAATGGAAACTTTATTTATTTATTTATTTATTTTAACCCCCCTCTCCTGTTGCCATTGACCATGATCTACATGGAGGGTAGAGGAGAAGCAGTGCAGGTTCCCAGGCCTGCCTGGAGGCCTCGTCTCCTGCACCGCTCTGCTAGCCCCTCGGCTTTCGCTCAGATCTGCTTGAGTTGGGCCAAGTCCTCGTGGAGCTGGGCAGGCTGCCACTGTCCCCCTGGCTCCAGGTGACCAACGCGCTCGGGCTTGAAACTAGGAGGAAAATGGAGCCAAAAATCCCTTTGAGGGWCCCTCTGTGAGGGCTCCACGAGGACACTCCGCCCCTCTGCCTTGGTGAGGGAGGCTAAAGCAGCGGCCGTGCAAGCAGGAGCCGGCAGCAGGCGCGTGCCGCTCTGCTGGGATACTTGAGATGAGACGGTCCTTGTGCAGCGCGTCACGGGCACCCCAATGCGCAGCTCAAACAAGGGGCTCCCTGCGGATATTGCTGCACCCTAAACACCTCGGGGTGTGCCAAGGGTCAGGAGACCTTGGGGTGCAGCAGACGCTCGGGGTGCTGCGTGCCACATGGGCACTCGCCTGGCCTTCACCCCTGAGCACTGGTTTGTGACAGTGTCTGCCGAACGGGCAGAGTTGTCTTAGGAACATCCCATGATCCGTGTCACATTTTTTTTTAAGAGCTAGCTAGTACTGGTAGCTATTGTATTGTGGTACTGGTCATTAGTGCTCAAAGCTGAGCTTAATGTCTTTGCACTTGGGCAGTGACTCATCTCTGGGGATTTTGTGCTGATGATGTTGGCAGCTTGGGCGAAAGGGAGCATGATAGAAGCAGGATGAAGCTTTCAAAAGGGAAAGCTGCAGCAACTTGGGTAGCTGTGACACTCCCCCCAGCCGCAGGCTGAGCTTTCTCACTGTAAACGGCAAGTTCGCGCTGCACACAGTGGTGTAAGACAAGCTGTGAATGATCTCTGTTCTTTTCCCCTCTCTTCCACAAATGTGTCTGTGATAGTAGTAAAACATGTGTAATTCCCAGCTTCCCACTATCACAAATTAGCTGCCCGGTCTTTACATGAAATGCAGCCCTTAATCGCTGGGGGTTTCTGACAGCCGCGTGGGCTCCGTTTTGACGCCGGCGCAGATTTCAAATGGCAAGTTGACATTTGCTTGCTTTTTGCCAGCTCGCACAGCCGTATCACAAATGCCTCCTATTTGATCTTCCCTGTTAGAATCAGCTGAAGCTTTTCTTTCTGGAGCCTGTTGCAGGGCTGCTAATATAATGGTTAATTCTCTCCTGCACCATTACCCCTCTGATTGCTGCGCAGCCCCGGCACAATATGCGCGCTGCACACAAAGGATCCAAATGATTTCAGCTTGTTCGAGTGACTCAAAAGGGCCCGTGATGCTCTAGGCACAAGAGCTGTCATTTAGCAGGCCAGAATTGCCACTGCACTGGCATCAAGGTAGATCAAAGGCAGCAAGGAGGCTGTGCGTTTCCATCAGGACACGGATGATGCTCTGGAACCCAGGAGCCAAGCTGCAGAGTTGGGAAGCTCAGGAAGAGCTYGTGGGGGGACGAGCTGTTTATGTTTCTCCTTTCTTGGAAGATCTGAAAGGGAAAGAAGTTCTGGTCCTTTGTACTCTGGCTTTGCTACCTGTACAAATGGGCACAACTCACAAAATGATTCCGGTTTATTCTGCCTGAACACCTAGACTAATGTCCCTGCGGTGTGATAATTTCCCCCACTGTTTAGAAAACACATTTAAAGTTGAAAAAAAGACCCTTGAAGAGAGTAGACATTAAAAAAAAAATCTATTGGTTAAAAAAAAAAATCTTGTCATGTTGTGACATTCTGCTGATTCTTTCTCATTTCTCCCATTTTGCAGGACGGAGAGCAGGAGGGGAATGGTAACTGCTATAAGATCCAAAGGTGAGAAATAAACGTCATGCTACTGAGAGCTGATGTCCAAGTGTAACCTCTATCGTAGAACACCGCCAAGAACAGTGTGATACTGAATTAAAATATCAACGTGAAGYGATGGGAGAGCCTGGACCTCCTGTCCTCGAGCACAGAGGCAGGCTCTGTTTCCCCGTGTGGGAAGCAGCGTTTGGGCACATGATGCTGTTCCCAGCTCTGCTGCTGTTTCCCGAGCCCTGCACGTGTTTGTCACACGTGGAGATTCAACCCAGACATAGCCTTAAGGCCGAACCCGCCCTATTCGCCTTCGGCAGCTCTCCCAGCCTTGCTGCAGCGTCTGAAGCAGTGTCTTTTGAAGGATAGAGAAGGGTCCGATTAAATCCAGGGAAAAGGAGAAAGCAGCTGAGTGGTTGAGCTGGTAGCCTTGAACTTGCACACTGAGCTCATCAGCTCTTCCCCTTGAAGAGCGTGGCCTGTGGGCACGTTCCTCCCGTTCCTCCCAGGCTCGAGGAATTTGTATTTGGGGGGAATCTCTCAAACCTTTGAGGCTGCAATGCAGTTCTCTCGATTTCCGCAAAAACGGTGCTAATACCCAGGGCTCTTTGTTGAACAGATTCTGGATCTGTTCAAATCCGCTCTGCCCAGGTTTGACCCCATCACAAAGTGGTGTTTAAATTTTTTTTTTTTTTTTTTCCTGGTGCCATCACTGCCACCTCTGTGCCAGCTCTGTGATGTCACAGTCTGCCTGTGACATCACGTCGGGCTCCAGCGGAGGAAGCGGAAGATAATAATAGACAAAGCTGCCATTCAGGCAGCAGATGGGCCAGCGGGCTGCTTGGAGTAGCAATGCTCCGCCAGGCTACCTTGAGAGACAACGGAATGGCCTGGAGCCAGAGCTGTGTTCCCTGCGCGGGGAGGAGAGGGAAACGCGCCCACCTGGGGAATCACATCCCATGGCGGCCTTAGCTTGAATCCAGGGCGCCGAGGAACACCGAGAGAGGTGCCCAACGATCCCTAGTGTCGCTGTGCCCGCGCTAAGATGATTTTCTTTTCCCACCCTCAGCTTTCTGGGGAGAATCTGATGACAGCAACTCCGATATCGAGGCTGCCCTACGTCCACAACCTCACGCTCCGGAAGATGATTTCGATGACTTCTATGATTAAGATACAGCCCCTGCTTGTTCTGGGGGGAGGAAATAAACAGTTTTGCACAAGGTTGGAGTGCTGGTGTCTGCCCTGCAGCTCATCATTACCTTTTTCATTTCAGTTTTCCTTCAACTCTTACTCAGTACTCCACTGAGCCCCCTTGTACCTCTGCTTTCTCACCTGCTAAGTTCTCATCTGAAGGAAATGCTGCCTAGAAAACCTGTCCTTTTTTTTGTTGTTGTTCTTGAGGGAATAAAGGAAGCTGCATCCTTATGTGTCCCCTGCTTCAGCACCAAGCGGGTGAGCGCTGTCCCCTCGGAGGGTGTCCTGGCACCAGCCCCCTCTGTGCATGGAGCTTGTTGCTCTGCCGGCATTGGGCCTGTCCTGAACATGCTCCCTGCACCGCTCCTGGCTTCTCCTTTGGGCAAAGATGTCCATGTGTTTTTGGGAATGTTTCTTGGGGTGCTCTAAGCAAGTTTGAACACAGAGCCATGAGAGATGTTGACAAACACCCCGCTGAAAGGAGAGTCGCACAGCAAAATCCTCATTCTAAGGCTAATGGAGACGTGGTTTGCAAAGGCTTTGTGTTTCATGGCCATGTATTGTAACACATAAGTGCACAAAATAAGCCCAAAGCTGCTATTACACAAAGGAACACAAAAAGAGAAGTGCCAGGAGCTGTTTAATAGCATGATCTAGGTGCCTGTCCTTCGGCGGGTGCCCTGTGGAGCGAGAGCTGCTGGGAGGCTCCGTCCTTCCCAAAATTAGTGGTGGCTGGGGGGAACAGGGCCCTGGAAGCCCTCTGAGCAGCTGCTTTCAGTGCTTCACGACTCTCCTCTGGCTCCGTTTAGTTCTGGCCCTGTACCAGGATTCACCCTCTCCAGGAGCCATCCCCGCTGCGACAACACGGGAACACAGAGGGACTGAAGTGATGGCTGCAAGGAGAATAAAGAGCTTTACTCTTCCCTGATGGAGCCCAAGGGGTGGCTGAACATGGTTCCCGACCTCCCAGGGGAGAAACTCTTCCCCTTCAGCAGGCCCCAGCGCCGTCTTCTGGAGAGACCCCCGGCCTGGAAGATTCGCAACTAGCTGGTCTCATCCCTCTATGAATTGCTTGAGTCGTTACTGCTCCGATGTTCACATGTATTCTCCTATCTTTAGTTCCAAATATGTTTCTGAAAAAAAAAAAGAAGGAAGCAGGGTGCCCATACATAGGCTGCTCAGGGCGATGTTTGATCTTTGTCTTATCCTGCAGCAAATCAAGAAGAAGAAATGCATAAAATGTGTATTTCTAATTCAGCACATTTTGGAGCAGAGCACTGTTTCCATGTGGTTATCCGCAAGGATTTTCGGCGTTTGCTCTTGCTTTGTCAGATCCATGCTGGCATTGCTGTACAGACATCACAGGTGCTGGATGATTCTAGGAGCCTCATGCATTTTTAATTTTCTTCTTTTAATTCCTTTTATCTAAAATTAAGTTTGTTAAACATAAGATTTTATTTCGAAGGAAAAAATCAGGGGACATATATTAAAAAAAAAAAAAACCCTTCATAATTAGAATAAATTCAAAAGCAAAACTGGCACCCCAATTAAACTCCCCTGCAAAGCAGCGCCACATCTTCGAATTTAAGACACCAATCTTTGCACTCAGCCTGTCCAAAACAATTTAAAAACACTTAACAACATCCTATGTAATAAAATGAGCTTGTAGGCCCAGACAAGCTTAGGGATTGAAATAAAGGCGCTCGGCTTGAAAACGGGCGGGGAAGAAGCCCTGTCTGCTGGCATGAGGATGTGACAGATGAGGGTGAAGGACAGCAGGACGGTCCTGCACGGATTTAAGGCGTTATCATGTCCTGCTAAGGCAAAGCTGATAGCAAAAATGTGTTAATACGTTTCTGTAGCTACCCTGCAATGGCTCCGAGCTTCATTCTTTATTGTATGGGTGATCTACAGACTTTTGGGGTGAAATTAGTCCATAAATGGTTGATTTTCGTTGTGTGGTGCCTGGCACTGTGTAAGGAATTTGAGGAAAGTATCCAATTTGGGAAAAGTATCCCATTTAGGAAGGTAGGGAGCATGTGTGTGTGTGTGTGTGCACTCTAACATATATATAGGTTGAACCAGAAGCTCTAACAACTGTTGGTCACAATTTTTCCGTGTGGAAAAAAAAAAAAATCAGTGGCAAAAGAACATTTCCTGGAGAAGCCGCGAAGTTCTGCATCTGTGAAAACACGTATTTTCTGTGGCAAAAATAGCAGCGGGGTTCTGCGGCTGCTCCGCACATAGGCAGCCCCCCCCC